AAATTAAAATATTTAAAAAAATTTTTTTCTTTGAGACAAAGTTTCTCTGTGTAGTCCTGGCTATCCTGGAACTAGCTCTGTAGACCATCCTGGCCTCAAACTCACAAAGATCCGCCTGCGTCTGCCTCCTGAGTGCCGTGATTAGAGGCGTGTGCCACCACTTCCCAGCTATAAATATCTACTTTTAAGTCATGCAACTCTTTACTTCTTTAGACAGGGTCTCACTCTATATCTTGCTAACTTTGAACTCAAGAAAATCCTTTTGTTTCAGCCTCCTGAGTGCTGGAATTACTGGTCTGAGCTATCATGCCCAGGAGTAAGACTGACTTTTTAAAAACTCAGTATAATTCTCTTGAGATTCTTCCAGCTTGATGCATGCATGTTTCAATAGTTCGTCCCTTTGTATTGCTGAAAATGTTCAGTTTCATGTTCTCTTTACACTTGGAAGCTCTGGCACAGACCATACAGTTTTAAATCTTACGCTTGTCTGTCTCCAGCCCCCGACAGGATCTTATTTCTACCAGGCTAGCCTTGAACTTACTATGTTGGTAAGGATGACCTTAAACTTCTGACCCTTCTGAGTATTGGGACACAGGCTTGTACCACCAGTTCTGGTTTATGTGATGATAGAGATGAAACCTAGGACCTCTTCCTGCTAGGCGAGCATTCTGCTGAGCTATAGCCTCAGCCCTTTGCCCTTTGCCCTTTGCTATGAACTTAAAAGCAGCCTCCCTTGGTTCAACCAGTTTTTCTAGTAGGCTGGTGCATGTGTGTATGTGTGTTTTGTTCTTACTCTTATTTTTATTCTTGTTTTTATTTTTAATATTTGATTTCCCCTTTTCACTTTTATTTGGTGTTTAATTATTGCCTTTGCTTGTGTTCATTTTTATTTAAAAATAAAAGAATGAATTTGTTCTTGTCAGTTTTGCTGCTTTCCTTGTTTGAGGGTACAATTTCAGTCAGAAGTACCTAGGACGTATACCATTTAACATTAGCTCAATACTCCTATGTTCACTTGGTTTCTAGGTCTATTCTGGATAGCAGGTTTTGTGAAGACATTTATTCTTTCTTGGACCTCAGAATTCCCAGACATCTCATGGTATTTCCTTTTATATTTATTCCTTATTGGTTGCTGTTTATTTTCCACGTATTTTGTCTATATCTGACTTGCCAGTTGGTGATGTTAGGTTGTTTTTTTGTTTTGTTTTGTTTTGGTTTTGTTTTTTTCCCTTGCACATGAAAGTTTGGAGTAATTGTTTGGATTGTGTTGAAATTCCCCATTCCCCTTTTATACCTGTAATATAAGATGATTTCTTACTACACAACACTGACTTTCTCTCCTTTCTTTTCCTTACCCATTTTGTCTGTCTATCTGTCTGTCTCTGTCATGCCCTGTCCCCACATTGATTGAATCCAGAGCCTTGCACATGAGGCAAATGGTCTACCCTTGAGCTATGCATCTCTAGCCCTTTGTTTTTTCAAGACAAAGTCTAAGCAGGTTTTGAACTCTCTGTGTAGCCCAAGCTGACCTCAGATTCATGGTCATCTTGCCTTGGGTTCCCCTCTGCTGGGATTACCATTACACTGGAGAGGTAGGTAGGGGTGTATGAGTGTGTTTGAAACAGTGTCTTTCTCTATAGCTTACACTGGCCTTGAACTTGCAGTAGCCTGCCTCACCTTCCTGAGTGCTGGGATTACCCACTCATGATATACCAAATTTTTGCTCTTGATTATTTCAGAGATAATGATTTGACCCGATTGAAGTTGCATTTTTTTGTTTGTTTTTCAAGACAGGGTTTCTCTATGAAACAGGCCTGACTGTCTTGGAACTCATTCCAGGACTAGGCTGGCCTTGAACTCCCTAGTGCTGGGATTAAAGGTGTGTGCCACCACCCTCTGGCAAAATTGCAATTTTTATTATCAGTTGATTTTTTTTCAGCAATATGAATTATCTAGCTAAAACATGTATATTAATGGAGATAATGAAATAGATCTTTTCTTTAGAATGAAGCTAGGAGTCTATAATTCCATTTCATATGTGATGTTTTATCCTGAACATGAGTGTTTTTAGAGACATGCAATTCTAGGTATGTCATGTGGTAATGTTTGCAACTCTTGCTGTGTGGGATAATAGTTCATTTGGTTTGTGAGGCCAAACTGCACTTTAATCCCAGGATCTCTAATTCATTCATCAACTCTTTGTAGGGGACCATTGTGTTCCAGACACAGCAGGCGCATACGGGCATAAACCATTGCTTGAAATAGGCCATTTACAAGCTTTTCATTCTATTGGTTTACTTATTTTCATTGCTGGTTAGAACAGATCAGATGTATTCAGCGAAGACTGTGTATTTTAAAAGAACATACTATTATGTTATATATACGTTATATACGTTATATATACATTATATAATACGTTATCTTAGATTAGAAATGTTACTCCACTAAATTAAATAAGCTGAAGAAAATGTTACCATGGAATTGATACAAGGGACGATGGCTTAGTTTACTGCCTGTTGTTAGGTGTCTTTATCATCTTAAGGAAATACAGGTCAGTAATGTTTCAGTAAAACAAACTTGTTTTGTTCATTGCTTGCATTTTGAAATAAAATGTTATAACATTTTGTGCTAATTAATAACTACAACATTGTGAAGTAATTCTTAGGTATAGAAAAAGGGTAGGACAATGCTTTCCTTTGTTTAGTTGGTTTTCATTGTCTTGAGGGGAGTCTTTAATTGTGAAACAAATTAGAAAACATGACATAATGACCTTATTTTCAAGGTTGTAGAAGAGTTCCTTTAAGTGAGAATGAATGTTTGTCTAACCATACATTGTTTCCTGGTGAAATAAGAATTGTGGTTGTTTGTAGTTACAGATTGTCTCTTACCTGAAATTCATCGGACCATCAATCTTTCAGATTTTGAATACTTTCAGATTTTGTAATATTTATAGATTGAGCATCCTTAATTGAAAAATTTGAAATCTTGAGCATATTTCACAGCATTTCTAGATGTCAGTTTTTTTAAAATTAGGAATGTGCAGCTTGTACCAAATGTACTGATTGCTAAATATATATAACCGTTTCTTTGAAATTCTTTACATTCATTATGTCATATTCTTCCCAGAAACTCCAATTTTACAGTCCTATTTTATAAACAAGGACTCTAAATACTAGAGAGGTTAAATGACTTGTTTAGTCTCACACATTGAGTAACTGATCTAAGCAGATCTAAGTTTTTAATTTTCTATGTAATTGCCTACTTTGGGTCTTTTATTTTTTTGTTCTAAGATGGGTATCACTCAGTGTGTCCCAGGATCGTCTCCAGCTCCTAGGTGACAGCTGTTCAGCCTAGTACTACAGGCATGTACTACCATGTCTTGTTCACTTTCATATCACAATAATTTGGAAACTAGTAGCTTTCTTCCAGCTATACAAGATTTGAAAGTACGGACAAGTTTTCTTACAGATTTCAAACCACTTTAATCATCTTCTCTGATAATTTTTCCACATAAGGTATGATCAGTATATTTGTATCATCTGTGAATAGAAATTAGAGTAGGTGTGCTGAAGCTGAGCTGTAGAAATTGAAGGTAAATGTAAGAATTATTCCAGGAAACACTGCCTTTGTATTAAGGTTGCCTTTTGTTCTGAGTTGGTTTATGTCATTATAGAAGAGACTTTGAGTAGTCATTTTATAAACAATACATGGAACAAGTGCAGTGGAGTGAATTTAGATTAGAATCTTTTAGTTACTCCTGTAAATTTTATTATTATTATTATTATTATTATTATTATTATTATTATTATTTTTTTGAGACAGGGTTTCTCTGTGTAGCTTTGAAGCCTGTCCTGGAACTTCTCTGTAGACCAGGCTGGCCTCGAACTCAGAGAGATCCACCTGCCTCTGCCTCCCAAGTGTTGGGATTAAAGGCATGAGCCACTATGCTCAATTTCCTACCTTTGAATTGTGAAGATTAAATAGACTCTTCATAAAAGTTAGTTTGCTGCTTAGTGCTCCACGTGTAAATATACTATCATATCACTACCAAAAGACTTGATTTTGGATACTTACAAAAAGAACTTCCATTTTAACTTTCAAAATAAATGTTTGCCAGTCAATCACTGACTAGTGTGCTTTAGTAATCCTTTCTCTGACATTCTAGTTGTATTCCTTAAAGAATGTTAGATTCAGAAAGTTCTTTTTTTTTTTTTTTTTTTTTTTCCTTTAATGTGTTGGATTTGAACACAGAGACTCATGCATGCCAAGCACACTTTCTTGGCTGAGCTATACTTCCAGAAACTTTTCTTTTGATCATAAACAATGCAGCATAATCCCAGGGAGAAAATGAAAAAGCTACTCTGAACATTTTTACATTTGTGTTAGGACCTTAACAAAGAATGCTTTCTTCACTTGTTTTGTTTACTGTTGTTTCAGGATAACTGGTTTTGCTGTACTTTGCTAGTTTAGGTGGTTCTTAACTCTTTTGTTCACATTTCTTTTAAACAGGGTTTGTGGATGCACTTAGATGTTTGCAATGAGCACTGTGGCTGGCATGCCCCAGTATTTTGGATACCAATGCATAGGACTCCATAGTAATCGAATTTACCAGAGGCGAACGTCATGAGCATAGCAATCCCATTGGGGGTTGGTACAACAGAAACATCATACTTGGAAATGGCTGCAGGCTCAGAGTAAGTATTTAAGTGCATGTATTTTAGATGGGGAAAGGCAAAGTATATCCTACAGTTGTCACATACAAACAGTGTTTATTTGCATATGTCACTTTGGATTCTTGGCTAAGACATCAGAAGTTTAAAGTACAACATTCCTTTAAGATTACTTTTATAAATAACTTTTGTTCTAAAATTCTCTGTCTTTTGGGTATTTGCTTTTTGTATTTTCCACTTACAGCACTTCTCCAGTTTTGTTTTGTGGCAACCACCAGAATTTTTGTGGTTTAATTATTAAACTTTTAAAATCTCCTTTTTTTTATGTAAGACCTTAAGGCTTGAAAAGACTGGTAACACATTTACTTCTCATTTCACAGAAATGTAAGCTTTTCTATTGTTTCCCTAATATATTGAAAAATAACTAGCATTTTGCTTTTTTTTTTTTTCATTTCCAATATACTGTCAAAAGATTGAAAAATATCACTATGGTGGGTGTTGTGGATGTATGTCTGTAGCCCTAGCTATTTGGTACGCAGAAAGATTGCCTAGTCCAGCCTAAGCTATATAACTAGACACTGTGTCACAAGAAAAGACAGGAAGGAGGCCAGGGAAATGTGAGGTTCTCCTTTCCCGTACATTCCTTTTGTAATTGCTTATGAGTTGATACTTATTTTAAAATCAAGTATTTTAATTTTTATTATACTAATGTTGTGGGTTTTACAATTTTAAATTATGTATTATTTTCAAGAAGATTGGATTGCTAAAATATAATCATTAATGAAGTAATTTAAAATATAGAAAGTGCTCAGTGAAAATGTATTAATACTAGGTCAAATTTTATAAGGCCATAAAAAATTGTTATATTAGGCAGTCATCCTGTCAGTACTTCAGGATCTAGAAACAAACAGTAAACAGTTTAATCAACTCTGTTATTTCAATTTCCAGTAATATTTATTGTCTCTGAAGTGTCATTCCATTTGTCTGCTTTTTTTGTTGTTTTTGTTGTAATGTACATTTGTTTTTCTGTCAATACTATACTTGAAAAAATATTCATCTCATTTTGTTCTTGTGTTTTACTTCTTATTCCCTATTACTTCGCCTAAAAGTTGGCTCTTCTTTAACATTTGAACTAAATGTAAACTTTTAAACATTTAAGAATAATTGATTAGGTCAGATGGTGGTGGTGCACTCAGGAGGCAGAGGCAGGCGCATCTCTGAGTTAAAGGCCAGCCTGGTCTACAGAGCAAGTTCCAGGATAGCCAGGGCTACACAGAGAAATCTTGTCTCGACAAACCAAAACCAAAAAAGAATAATTGATTAAGCAGAATAGACTTTTGATCTTTGTGAGGAACTCTCCTGTAATTGCATTTTGTTTTATGAACTTAAGTTTGCAAAAAAAGAAAACTATAAATATTTCATTGTCACATATAAATAAAGTCATTTTATCATAAGTGAACTTTTAGGAACTTCATTTTGTTTGTTTATTTATTTATTTATTTATTTGGGTTTTTCGAGACGGGGTTTCTCTGTGTAACTTTGGAGCCTATCCTGGCACTTGCTCTGGAGACCAGGCTGGCCTCGAACTCACAGAGATCCGCCTGCCTCTGCCTCTGCCTCCCGAGTGCTGGGATTAAATGCCTGGCTAGAAACTTTTTAAAAGACAAACATGCCAGTTATAACCCAGCACTCGGGAAGCAGAGGTAAGAGAATTTTTGTAAATTCAAGGACATGTTAATATAAACAGAGTTCCAGGCCAGTCAGTGCTACAAAAGGAGAAATTGTCTCAAATAATAAATCAAAGCAAGTAAACAAACAGAATCCAAAGACACAAAAACCACTGCAGCTTTTTTTTTTTTTTTAGAAAAAAAATTATTTTATGCGGGTGTATGTACACCATGTGCTTTCATGAACTCTGGGACATAAGAAGTGGGATAACATGCTCTTAAACTGGATTTAGAGACTGTTGTGAAAAGTTTAAAAGTACAAACAGTAATTCTATATTGAAAAGGAAAAACGTAGCTAGGTATAAATACAATTTTTTAAAAACCCTCCAGGCATTGGTGGCGCACACCTTTAATCCCAGCACTCGGGAGTTCGAGGCCAGCCTGGTCTCCAGAGCGAGTGCCAGGATAGGCTCCAAACCTACACAGAGAAACCCTGTCTTGGAAAAAAAAAAAAAAAAAAAAAACCTGATCAGCAGCTGGGGGTGGTGGCGCACACCTTTGATCCCAGCACTTGGGAGGCAGACACACATAAAATAAATGTTTGTTTGTTTGCTAGTTTTTGTTTTTTGAAACAGGGTTTCTCTGTGGCTTTGGAGGCTGTCCTGGCACTAGCTCTTGTAGACCACTGTGTACTTTTTAAAAGGATTTCATTCTTACTTTTACTTACATGTAGTTGTTTGAGTTTGCATGTGGGTATTTGCACATGAGGGAACATGCTTGTAGATACCAGGAACATCTGATGCTCAACTGGAGTTAAATGTGGTTGTGAGTTGCTTGATATGGGTGCTGGGAACTGAACTTGAGTCGTCTAAAAGAATTGCAAGTGCTATTGACTGCTAAGCCATCTCTAGCCCATTTTATTTGATAACAGAATGACTTCTTTCTATACTTATCTTTGTTATTCTAGCCATCTCAATCATGAATTTGTTACATAAGTAAATAAAATAAAAACATGGAAGGGAAGTCCCCCCAGAGCTAGAAAGTAGGAAAAGATGCAAATGAGAAGTATTTTGTTTTTTCCTAGTCTTAAAAAAAGTTACTTTTCCTTTGTAGAAACTGGACATTTGATTACTATTAACATTATGTCCTTTAATTACTGTTACGTTATTTCTTTAGTGCTGTTTATTAGAAAGCATAATGAGATGTTACTCCTTTTTTTTTTTTTTTTTTTTTTTTTAAAAAATAAAAATTTTAAAAACAAAAAAAAAAAGATGTTTTTCCTTTTTTTTTTTTTTTTTTTTTTTTTTAAGAAATGAACAATTTAAAAATGTGACATGTGGCTGCACATTGGTGGCGCACACCTTTAATCCCAGCACTCGGGAGGCAGAGGCAGGCGGATCTCTGTGAGTTCAAGGCCAGCCTGGTCTACAGTGCGGGTTCCAGGACAGCCTCCAAAACAATAGAGAGAAACCCTGTCTCGAAAAAAACAAAACAATGTTTTGTGTGAGTTAGAAGTGAATTACTGAGCTGGAGAGTTGCTCAGCAGTAGAAAGCACACTCTGTTCTGGCAGAGGCCCAGATTTGGTCCACACCACCCATAGCCCTGGCTCCGAGCTGCTTTAATTCCAGCTTCGAGAGTTCTGCTGCCTTTGACCTCTGTTGGCATCTGCAATCCTGCCACATTCCCATACACAGACACACTCATACACACGTAATTGAAAATAACGAAAATAAATTACTCTGAATGAGGTCTCCTCATTCTGTCTCTAGTAATCCAGTCAAAGCTGAATAACATGAGTAAGAACACGAAACAAAAATAGCTAAGTTCTTTCCACTTTTTCAGTCACTAATATGGTAGTAAGCCCTTACAGACAGCCAAGTAAATCATTTTAGAATTTGTTGTCCTCATTTGCAAAAAGAAGTTTGCATTGAAATCATATTAGATAAGTTTTTCTCCAAATTTGAGTTTTGTTTTGTTTTGCATTTACGTGTCACTGGAGACACCTGCCGACAGAATTCATTAATTTCTTGGTGCCTAGATATTCTGAGTTTGAGTTTGTATAATGTAAGACAAAATTTTTTTGTCTATAATGGAATGTTTTCAGTGTGTTTTACCCATTTTTTACCAGTATTTAACTGTTTTTTGATTTCTTTACATTTTTCTTGTATTTCCATTTGTTTTGTGTGTGCTAGTGTGTATGTGTGGGGGTGTGTGTGGAAGTGGGTGGGTGTGTGGGGGTGTGAGTGTGTATGTGTGTGCCAGTGTGTGGGTATGTGCGAGTGTGGGGGTGTGTATGTACACGCCATTGCATTTGTGTAGAGGTCAGAATAGCTTGTTGAAACTGGTTCTCTTTTTCACCCAGCTGGGCGTGCGTGCATGTGGAAAGAGTCCTTGCTGATCTTCAAAGGACCAGAGTTTGGTTCCCAGCACACACACATCAGTTAATTTAAAGCCCCCTGTAAACCAATTACTGTGTAATAACTAACAGTACTTACTTAAATCAGTAATTCCTAGGTATAACTAACACTCTAGTAAATTTTACAGGAATGGTGGGGAAAGTATAGTTTGATGGGAAGAGCGTTGGGACACTTGAAGAGATGTAGGCTTCAGTATTCTTTCTTTAAGGAAGTAGTGTTGGGGCTGGAAGATAGCTTAGTGATTAAGAGCACTGCTTGCTCTTTCAGAGGACCTAGTCTAGATTCCCACCACCAGTTTTGCACTCACAACTAGTTCCAGGGGATCTGGTACCCATTTCTGGTCTCAGATACCAGGCATGCGAATGGTGTACATGCATACTTGCAGGCAGAATACCTATACACATTAAATTTAAAGAAAAATCAAAAAGCCTTCTATGTCTTTAGAACATCATTTATATTTAGGATGTAGAAATTGAGACCCAGCATCCTTATGTAGTATGATATATCCAGTGCCTCTAGTAGCAGGGTTAGAACTTAAGAGTCTGAGACATTTAGGACAGATCTCTCACAATCAGTAAGACTGTACCTCCTAGGATAGTACCTGAACAATATTTAGGGACAAAGAAACTATTTTGCTAACTGTTCTTGTCTCTTTGTACTCAGTCTATACCACTAGGACTCAGTACTTAAACCTTCATGATAGTCTTGTGATCACATTATATTGGGAGTCCTTTACCAGCAGTTTTACACCATGACAGTGCAGCTTTTGGTCTCCAAGTCATCTGGGAGATAGGAAACCACACCCTGAAATTCCCTTAGGGCCAGATGCAAACTGGCCTTATTACGCTATTATACTTTGCTTCCCAAAGTTTGACTATAGCATTCACCTTCTCCAGACCCTAGGTAGACCTGCATGGCTCAACTGTATTAACCCTTGACCTGTGTCATTGTTAATTTTCATTTCTGCAGTTCCTTGGTCACTGGTCTGTACAGATTCTTGGACTCTGGCCATATGTGCCACTATCAGAGTAAATCTACTGCCTGGTTTTATCATTTGGGGCAGGGAGTGGGGAATGCTGGGGTTTGGCTTCAGGACCTCACTGATGCTAAGCATGTGAGCATATATCACTGAGCAACAACGCAACCCTATATATATTGCCTGGTCATGTGGCAGGATTCTCTACCTTTGCTATTAGTGAAAAGATTTATTTTCTGTAGAAATGATTGTATTTTTTTAAATTTATATTTAGGTGTACAGTTTCAAGTGCCACTAAGTATATGCAGAATGTTCAGCAATAGTCACCAATTTCTGAATGTTTTCCTCACCCTAAACAAAAAACTTCAAAATCCTTCTTTCCCTTTATTTCCAGCACCTTGTAAATTGTAGTTTGGTTTCTGTCTATGCCTATTCTAGGTCCCTTTTATAAGTGGTTTATTTTATTAATGTATGTGTAAGCGTGCACTAGTGTGCTCATGAGTGCAGCTGACTGCAGAAGCCAGAGGAGGGCATCGGGTCCCCTAGAACTGTAGTTACAGCTATTTTTAAGCCAACTGATGTGGGTGCTGAGAACCAAATTCTGTTCCTCTGGAAGCAAGTACTCCCCTCCCCCAAGCTGAATATTTTAAAAAATTGAATATTTTTAAAAACCATATACTTTTTAATTTTTTGAGATCATAATTACACATTTTTCTCTTCTCTTTCCTTTCTCCAGATTCTGCCACAAGCCCTTATTCTTTGCTCCTCTTTGAATTCATGGCCTCTTTTCATTAATTGTTGTTAGTGTGTGTTTCTAAGTACATAAATACTACTCAATCTATATAATGCTATTTGTAAGTATGTTTTCAGGGTTGACTTTTTGGTATTATATAGCCAATAGATATGCTCTTTGTTAGGGAAGATATTTCTCCTGCTGTCAGCATTCCTTAGCAACTGTGGGGTTTGGTTTTGTGTGTGTGCGTGCGTGCGTGAGTGTAGGGTTGGAACTTAGTCTTAATCCACTTTGGCATATCTGTTGTTGTCCTTGTATAGTTAGTTCATGATGAGGTTGTCATCTTATTGAGATCTCATTGGTGTACCTTCTGACATTACTAGGAGACCCTCTCTCAGCAAACTCTGTGACCTTCTTACAGTCTATCTGCCCCATTCTTCTTGCATGATTCCTGAGCCTTAGGTGGGGGAGTTGTTTTTTAGGTGTAACCATTGCTACTGGGTTCCACAACTCTGCATTTTGATTGGCTGTGTTTTTCTGTAAATGGTCTCTGTTGCATAGAGAAGTTTCATTAATAAGGGGTGAGGACTATACTTTATTTGTGGGTGTAAGGGCAAATATTTAGAATGTAGTTAAGGATTATGCTGGCTTAGTAAAGTGGTGGTTATAGATCTTCCTCCCCCCCCCAAGATCCATGACTTTGCTAGGTTTGGTTTGTTGTTTGTTTTCAAATATTTTTAAATTACATTTAGTTATTTATTGTGTGCTTGTGTATGTGTCTGGACTTCAGTGCCACAGTGCACCTGTAAAGATCAGAGGACAGCTCTCAGAGATCTGTTCTCTCCTTCCTCCTTGTGGGTCCCAGGGATTGTACTCATGTTGTTAATCTTGACAAGTCTTTATTCCCTGAGCCATCTCACTGGCTCTAATGCAATTTATTTATCAATGACACATTATGTCTATGTATTTATGCAGATATAAAATTGGCTACACAAACACTAGCTGCCTTTTACTCAGAAGTTTATTTCATGATCATGAAAGCTTTTTGCTGAGCAGTGGTGGCATATGCCTTTAATCCCAGCAGTCAGGAGGCAGAAGCAGTGGATCTCTGTGTTTCAAGACCAACTTGGTCTATAGAGGAAGTTCCAGGACAGCCAGAAGTACACAGAGAAATGCTGTCTCGAAAAAGCAAAAAAAGAAAAGGAAATGTCATTAAAAATGTGTCAACCAGGAGTAAAAGCACTTTCTGTGTAAGACCAGTGGACCTGAGTCCTATCCTCAGACCCCATGGAGAAAGGAGAGGATTGGAAGTCTGATCCCCATATGTGTGCTGTGGCATGTGCACAGCCTGTATAACACATATGTGTCACACACAATAACTGTTGTATTTTTTAAATTATTTATTTCTTATGTGTAGTGTTCTGCCTGCATGTCTGCTTACAGGCCAGAAGAGGGCACCAGATCCCATTATAGATGGTTGTGAGCCACCATGTGGTTGCTGGGAATTTAACTCAGGACCTCTGGAAGAGCAACCAGTGCTCTGAACCTCTGAGCCATCTCTCCAGCTCCCAATAATAACTCTTTTAAATCAATGTCAACCAGTTTTATATAACATTATTTCCTTGTTTTAAAACTTGCTTTTAGTGGACCATTTAGCTGACTTAGTGGGGATCGGTGATTGCCTTCAAGCCTGATGGTCTTAGCTGAATTTTTAAAGTTATTTTAAAAATCACTTGTAGTAAGTATAAATATTCAACACAGCTATCTGTTTAAACCATTTTCTGCTTTCTTACATGACCACCTTGTTATTATTACATCCTATATTTGAATTGTGATTTCTAAAAAGAATTTGGCTGTTTCATATGCTTGAATTCATCTATATTTACACGAAAGCTTGACTTTATTAGCTACTCCATAGCACTAGTTTTACCCATATTCTTCAGTAACACTGCAGTTTGATTACATCGTTAAGAATGAGTCTAGCCACAACCCCTTCATGTAGTTTTAATGATAGTATTGTAGATCTTTGCTAAAATTCAGCATTCTTAAATTTTCTTTCAAGTTAGGCAGGCATGGCACATTCCTATAACCTCAGCATTTAGGACATGGAGGCAGGAGGATCAGGAGTTCACGGCTAGCCTCAGCTACATAGTGATTCCCAATTTGTACTACATGCGACTATTACCCTACCACCACCAATAGGAGGTAGGCATGGTGGGTCACTCTTGCAGAAACCTGAGGCAAGGGGCTGGAGAGATGTTTCAGCAGTTAAGAGCATTGGCTGCTTTTCAGAAGACCTGGATTTAGTTCCCAGCACCCATATGGCAGCTCACAGCTGTCTGTAACTCCAGTTCCAGGGGACCTGACACTCACATACAAATGCAGGCAAAACAACAGTGCCCATGAAATGAAAACAAATTAGCTGGGTGGTGGTAACACAGGCCTTTAGTCCCAGCACTCAGGAGACAGAGGCAGGCAGATCTCTGAGTTTGAGGACAAAGAGAAACCCTGTCTTGAAGGAAAAAAAAAAAAAAAACATGTTGGGAAAGTGTTATATGTAAAATGCTAGGGCAGAGAGCTTTCAAAGCAACAACAGTTTGGAAGTTGCTACTCATAGTAGTATCAGCAGTTGGTTCATCACCACTACTCTCTTCTTAGGCCAGATCTACAAAGCTACTTGCTACAGACTACTGCTTGTATTTTTCAGGCATAAATCCTGGCTCAATGTGTGGTTCTCTGTTCTTTAACTTACTGACATTTCCCAGAATCTGCTCTGTCACAACACATTAAACACATTGTTTTGACCATTGGGATGCATTTAAGCCAGAGTCTATGTAGACTTAATCTACCTTAATCTTGCTTAAAACCATTTCTGCCACTCTGGCCACCCTTTGCATGTTTAGTGACACTGGGTAAATGGAGTAATTTGGAGTAATTTGGAGGTTTTGTTTTTGTTTTTGAGTGCCATGGTGGCACTGTCTCTTGATTGTCCTGCCTCAGTGCTAGGATTACAGAAGTACATTGTCATCCCCAGTAAATGGACACCTTTTAAATGAAACTATAGTTGAACTTTACATTAGGATGTTTATTTTATTAAGTAAAACTTTTGTTACGACACAGTCTATATAGGATGAATATGCCCACAAGCTGTGCACATATTGTAGACATTGTATTTGTTTTGACAATATTTTAGAATAAGGACTTACAAATTATTTAATAGATTAAAACAGAAAAATGAATGGAATTCTAATCTGTGGAACTTCTTTCCCTTAGACCAGAATCTGTAGAAGCTAGCCCTGTGGTAGTTGAGAAATCCAACAGTTATCCCCACCAGTTATACACCAGCAGCTCCCATCATTCACACAGTTATATTGGTTTGCCCTATGCGGTAAGTGTCAAACGTTTCTTCAGAGAGACTTTTGTAAGATTAGAAGCTGAAAGTGAAATGTGTGATAATGTGCTTAAGACAATAATTCAATTTTCTGTATAATTAAGTATATAAGTTATACTTTACTATTAAGGGAACAAAATTCTGTGAGAGGAAGTCTGTAGTTTTTGGGTTTGGTTTTTTTTTTTTTTTTGCTTAATTATTGTATGTGTGTTGATTTTTTTTTTCCAACTTCAATGAAAAGAATATGGATAAGGTTACATTGTACTATTTCCTGCTAATTCTAAGTTACATAGTAATTAGTAAATTGTGTAGTTATTTTTCTAATGATTTATTTATTATTTATGTTGTTGATTTTGGAGACAGGGTCTTTCTATGTAGCCCTGGAACTCGCTCTATAGACCAGGTTGGCCTCAAACTCAAGAGATCTGCCTGCCTCTGCTTCCCCAGTGCTAGGATTAAAAATGTGCTGCAGAAGCTTGGTTATTTTTATCCCTTTTAATTATGGTTTGTGTGTCTGCATGTAGGTATGTATAGTACAGGTGCCTGAGGAGGCGTCCAGTTCTTTGCAGCTGGAGTTAAGAGTGGTCATAAGCAGCCAGATATGGGTGCTGAGCTTGCATCCTCTGGAAGAGCAAGGAGCATACACTCCATAACTCTGGAGTCATCTCTTTGACTCTGGCTTATTATTATTTTTCAATTATTATTATGTTGAGTGAGCAATACACAAACATATATGTGTGCCTAAATATATATATCATACACACACACACACACACAATTTACTTTTTAAAGCAAACTTTTCAAAGGCAGTTTCATCACTGTTTCACAGCTGAGAGGACACAAGCTTATTCCCTTAATTTATTTCCTCTTGAGGGTTCTGTAGTATCTTAATTCAAAGAGTTACAGGACTAAATTTGTGACTACTCGGAAAGTACAGTTTATGACAGATTAGTACTTAATGTGAATAAAAATGGTCAGAAATGTAAAACACCATGTTGTATATTTTACAGTAATAATGTACCTTTTGTTACTATTTTGACTGTTTACAGTTATTTGTTTGGGGGAATGGGATGTGTATTCTGGCACACATGTTGAAGTCAGTAGGCTCTTTCCTTCCATCGTATGGGTCCTGGGAATTGAACTCCAGGCTCTATGGCCAGCACCTTTACCTGCTGAGCCATCTCTCCAGCCCAGGTTTGCTATTCTGTAGCTTTTTTACACCTGTGGAATTTGGGATTTTACCCTTATCCTAACATCATGGACTTAATTTCTTCACAGTGAAAATGTGTGATCACAGGAGTAGAAATGTGGTTTCTGCTGTGGAGGGCGGGGAAATGTCATTGATGTGAAGGTGACTACCTTCTACACAAGTGATTCTATTATTAGTCTTATGTCGTCATTTGACAGTATTAAGAAATGGACCGATTTTATATTAAGTATTCAAATTTTATTTGCGTAGTTTGTGTCACTGAAATTGATATTGTGCTGTTTTGTGTTCTGTTATTCAGGACCATAATTATGGTGCTCGTCCTCCTCCAACACCTCCAGCTTCCCCTCCTCCATCAGGTCTCATTAGCAAAAACGAAGTAGGTGTGTTTGCCACGGCAAACTTCGATGACACTTCCAGTGCTACTACCATCAGCACATCTGAGGACGGGAGCTACGGCACTGACGTGACCAGGTGCATATGCGGTTTCACACATGACGATGGGTACATGATCTGCTGTGACAAGTGCAGGTACCGTGTTCCATACCCTCAGTCCCTTTTCCTGATGCTATTAACCTTTGATTGTTCATTTGGAAAAGCTAGTTAGGTCTTTTGAAGGAATTAATTCCTTTTTTAAAGTAGGATGTCTGCCTCTATTGCTGCAATTTTTTTTTTTTCTAGAAAAAAGTCCTTATTTAAAATAAGCTGTTTTAGGACTGGAGACAGACACACACTAATCATGGAGAGGACCCACATGGGGCAGCTCAAAATCCTCTGTAATTCCAGCTACAGGGTATCTAATGTCCTCTTCTGGCCTTTGTAATCAATCAATCAATATTTCTCTCTCTTTCTCTCTCAAAATTAAGTAAGTAAATCTTTTAAAAAAAATAAAAGAAGCTATTTTATAATTTAGTATTAGAAATCCTTGTTATGCCGAGTGTTGGTGGGCGCACGCCTTTAATCCCAGCACTTGGGAGGCAGAGGCAGAGGCAGGTGGATTTCTGTGAGTTCGAGGCCAGCCTGGTCTACAGAGGGAGTTCCAGGACAGGCTCGAAAAGCTACACAGAGAAACCCTGTCTTGAGAAACCAAAAAAAATAAAAATAAAAATCCTTGTCATGATGCTGGATGTTGGTAGTACATGCCTTTATTCCTAGCATTTGGGGGCAAAAAATTATTCTGTCAGTCAGTTAGATTATATTGGATTAGTTTTTGATTGTTACTGATAGTAGCATGTATATTTTCAGAAGGTTCATTATCTCTGTCAGTAAGTAGGATATGAATGTAGAAGATGAAATTGGTTTTCTTAAGTAGACGGTTGTAAATTAATAGTAACATGCTATGGTAATTTTAAAATTTAGAAATAAATTCTCACTGCCTGTGATAGTTATTGTAAGTAATGACTGGTAAATCTATTGAGGGGAAATTTATAAAACTTAAATAACTTTGAGGAAGTATTTTCTGTACATTATAAAAATACCCATTCTTATTGTATTCAGTTATGTAAAAAAGCTTTCTTGTAGCTGATCTCATCTAATGTGATAAATGTAGCAGTATTTTTATTGAAATAATAATTTAAGGAATGGTTTTTGTTTGGTCCAGTTAGTCAAATGGACATGTAATAAATACTTATCATTCTTAGACATTCATGCAAAATTCTTAGTTACCTTTACATTCTTAAAGGTAATAGATTTTAGATTATTCGAGGTATTTACCATGAAGTGTCTTTTACCATGACTCAGTGTCTGGCTGATTCTACCCAACCTTCATTTTTGTATTCAGCCTATATTGTTCTCCAAGGACTAATCTTTCTCTTCCTTTTTTTACATTGCCCCTCTCAATTTTTTTTCAGTGTTCGCATTGCCCATATTCAGTGTTTTGACCTCTGACATCTAGAACTCTGCTCTTTTATTTTCTAGATTTACTTGTTATCTGCATGACACAATACTTAAACATAATTTGAGGGTTCTCAATTGATATGTAAAGAGTAACATGATACTATTTAGTTCAGTATGCTTATAAGTGACATCATAGGGCTGGGAGATGGCTCAGTGGTTGCTTCCCAGCCTGACAAGCTGAGTTTGTTCTCTGGGATCCACATGGAAGAACAGAGAAGTAACCTCAGAAAGTTGTTCTCTGACATCTGTACTTGGGCTATGACATGTGCACACACAGACACATTCATACACATACATACACGTAATTTTTTTAAAAGTGTATAATTATGTGTAAGAAGAAGTAGATAGTATTTTTTTATTTTTATTTTTTAAAGAGGAATGTATATCAATTTCAAGTACATGAAGTTTTGTCAATAACATTCTGAGTTTAACTCAAGCTTGCTTGTATACTCCCTTCAGAGTCATTAAGTTGAATTCCTTTCCAATGGAATGCTTCCTGGATTCTGACCTGTTTGGAATTATTTTAGTTCTGTTCTTTCTTAAATATAAATGTTAGAAGTCTTTGTTATTCTGTTTCTGATCTTTCAACTAATACTGTGTACCACCAAAATTGTTATATGTCAACAGAAGATATAATCCAACTTGGCTCTTTTCCTTTGAATTCACAAAAGGAACAGTTCTCTTTGTATATATTGACCATATTTTGGTCGTCATATAGCTGGCAATTAGTGAATGTTTCAATGGCACACTTCCTTCCTGTTTACCCAAATCAGATTCTTGTCACACTGATTATTACACTCTGTTTATTATTAGTGTCGACATCTTGAGGCGTATAACATTTTAAACAGTTATCCTTTATGCTTTAAATTGTGTTTGCTTCAGAAATTTGTTTTATGTATTCTGCATTTGCCATATTTTGCATCTTAAAATTTTTCTTCCTGAGAACACATTTTAGTGTGTACTAAGCTCAAAGTAGGCACTTAAATGATAGACTATTACATCTTAATTTATGCAAGGTTTTAATGTTTTCTGGTTTTGTTTTTGTTTTTTGTTTTTTTTTTTTTTCTTTTTAAGTGTTTGGCAACATATTGACTGCATGGGGATTGACAGGCAGCACATCCCTGACACATATCTATGTGAGCGCTGTCAGCCCAGGTAAGTAAGTTACCAGATCTGGTAAGACGGTCAGCTATTTCATTGGAAAAACTTCCATGGAAATTTATTAAAAAGTTGCAGATGAATAAAATTATGAATACTAATATTTGTTTTAAGAAGTACTTTTTTTTCTAGCTGGGCATTGGTGGCGCACGCCTTTAATCCCAGCACTCGGGAGGCAGAGGCAGGTGGATCTCTGTGAGTTCGAGGCCAGCCTGGTCGAGCGAGTTCAGATAGACCCTAAAACAATACAGAGAAATTCTGTCTTGAAAGAACAAAAAAAGAAAAGTGCCTTTTCCACTTACATTTATTATTTTCTTAACCTGAAACCTAAATCAAGATTTTTTTTTCATTGATATTGTGGTTGACTGTATAATTTTAACTTTGTTAGTGAACAATAGTGATCAAACACTTTTCCAAGTGTTTGGCACTTTTTTTTGGCAGTCATAAGAGTTGGGTGTGATTGTGCAGCTTTGTAATACAAGCTGTTTGAGCAGTCAAGGCAGGAAGATTGGAAAGCTCAGGGTTTGCTAAAGATACAGCATGAGTTCAAGTCCAACCGAGTTAACTTAGTGAGATTCTTCCTCAAAATAAAAGCAGGAAAAAAAAATGTCGGGGTTTGGGGGGGATATAACTCAGTGGTAAAGTGCTTGTGTAATAGACACACTCAAGACAACTGAGTTCTGAGCACCCCAGAAAAGAGGGTTGGACAATGTAGATTTATCGTGTTGGAATAATCGTGTTGACTAATGTGGGAGAAGCCCTGAATTCAATCCCAGTATCCGTTTTACTACTCCCCCAAAACGGGTTATTAGAGCACCCTCTTAGTTACATACAGAATTTGCTAGGTTTGTTTGCAGTGTACAGGTTCAACTCCCACCATTTTTTATTTTTATTTTTTTAAGCACATATAGTAAGGTACAATGTTTGCTTCTTGTAAGGTCCTGGGGGATCAGTAGGAATTACAAAAAGAAAGCCACCCATCTTTGCCACAATGTATTAAAGCATATAGTCACAGGAAAGTCTCTGTTCTATGGCAGAAAATATGGTAGGTAACTCTCCACGTACTTACTATGTTTGAAGAAAAGTATCTGAGTTACGTTAACATGAATGAAGCAAGAGAACAGGGGTGCATGTGGAACAAGAGTAGACTTGCCTGACCCAGCAGTGGAGAGAAGTAGATGGAAAGGAAATTGCAGAGATCCGAGTAGAGCTCTACCATGTAAGTGTAAAGAATTATGACAGGACGGGAAAACAAAAGATGTTCCTGGGAACTTGTTCTGATCTTGGTTTCCTAGGCTTGGGTTTTCTGTCAAATGAATTCAGTTAAGGTGGCAGAATGTAGTATAGAAAACAGACTATTTCATGTAAACTGAGGTACTTTCAAGGGTGAGAGTGAGCAGTGACCAAATGGGCCATTGTCTGATTTATTTTTAAAGTCGTTATTATAGAGACAGGCAAAGAGAACAGTGCCTGTAATTCCTACCATTGGGAAGTGGGGAAAGGAGGATCTGGAGATAAAGGCCCAGCTTGACTACAAAGTTTGTTTGAGGTCAGCCAAGACTTCATCAATAACAAATCTTTTTATTATAGACATTTAAAACTCAATAAAAAGGGTTGAGGAAACTGCTTGATGTACTAGAGCCCTTATTAATGAAAAGATTCACATTATGGCCTGACTGTTAACCCTGACACTGGGGAAGCAGAAACAGAAGACCCTGGGGCTCACTGGCCAAGCCTGTTTAAGTTAACTGGTGAGCTCTAGGCAAACGACCCTGTCTGAAAGGAAGTAGATGGTGTCCCTGAGACTAAGACTTGAAATTGTTTTCTGCCTTATATGCACGTGCACCTATGTCCTGCAAATGAACATACACACACTGAAACAACAACAAAACACACTTCCTTATAAAAGTAAATATACACACATTCTGCCCCCTGCTTCAGTAATTACTAGTTATTTCGTCTTTGAAAAACAATGAATTAATACTTACAATTGTAGTTCAAATTAAGTATATAAATTTTTGTTTCGTGTGTGTGTGTGTGTGTGTGTGTGTGTGTGTGTGTGTGTTTGTTTGGTTTTCTGGTTTTTTTTGTTTGTTTGTTTTGTGATAGGATTTCTTTGTGTAACCCTAGCTTTCCTAGAACTCTCTATAGACCAGGCTGGCCTTGAACTCAGGGATCCATCTACCTCTGAGTGCTGGGATTAAAGGCATACACCACCACCAACTGGCTACATCTGTCTGTTTATTCTTATAGTACATCTGGGTCTATATATTTTTACCCAAGTTCTCAATAAGACAAGAATAATATAATTAGAATGCCATAATTACCCAATTGCTTAATTCCATAGAATAATACAGAGTAATATCAACACTAGCAACATTCATATGTAGAAAAATTTAGAACTTTTCCCTTTGTGGACTATATCACAAATGGATATTTATAGTATTTAAAAGTCCCTTTAAAAGAATGTCACTATGTAGTTATGGTACCAATTAGATACATGCTTAGGTTGTTTAGATTATTAGTTTTATTTGGACTGTTACTCTTCTTTTCCATTTTTAAGTTAAACTTTTAATTATTTCAGATTTACATAAAATAATGCAGGTAACTTGTGTATCCTTACTTTCTCCTACTAGTAACAGCTTGTGAAACTGTTTATAGGATATTGTTATTAGAATTTTCACATTAGGCTATCATGAAATAATTGTTTCATTGAAAGGACTCTTCATCCTGCCTTTATCAAGTACTGACCCAAGTCCCTCTTCATTCCTAACCTATAGGGCCTATATTTCATTTTGATAATTTTTGTTATTTCAAGAATTATATAAAAGGGGAATCATACACAGTATATGACCCTGTATGCTTTTTCACTCATGATAATGCCTTGAGAACCAACATTTCAATCTCCTGCATGTATCGCTGCTTCCTTTTACATTGCTGGTATATTCTTTGCTATGTATTATGGTTTACTTACAGACCTCCACAGAATTACATTTGTGTTGCTTTCCCCTTTTTTGGATTCTACAAATAAAGTCACTCAGAACATTATTACAGGTTTTAGTGTGAACCTAATTTTTTTCCATTCCAAAAAGTGTGTAACTCATTTGTGTGAAAGTTGCATGTTTAGTTTTTTTTAAGACATTACAAGAGCCATATGGTGGGATAAGCCTTTAATTCCCTAAGGACTGAGTATAGATAGTGGTAGAATGCTTTCTTAGTATATGCAATGCCTTGGCTCCCAGTACCAAATGAATGAATGAATGAATGAATGAAAGAAAGAAAGGAAAAAAGTCATGAAACTTCTGATGAAATAATTAATGTGGCCTTATATTTACATCAAGAATATGCAAATAATCCAGGTGGGTAGTTGATTTGTTGATCATTTATAGAGTCTTATATAGCCGAGACTGACCTTGGACTTCTGAGGTCTGTCTTCCAAGTACTGGAATTATAGATATGCACTACTACCCAGAGTTCTAGTTTGTTTTTAATATTAAGAATTGCTTTTTTAAAAATTACTTTTGCAGCTAGATAGTTCATTGTAAGAAATAATTGTCATACTAAAGTCAAATATATAAAATAAGTTATTTCCAAGTAAGTCTAAACTTTGCCTTATCCTTTCTACTCCAGATCTTTTTCAGTAGACTTGTTTGTTTTTGTTTTTGAGGCATGGTTTCTCTGTGTAGCTCTGCGTTTCCTGGAACTCCCTCTGTAGACAAGGCTGGTCTCAAACTCCCACATCCATCTGCCTTTGCCTCCTGAGTGCTGGGATTAAAAGTGTGTGCCACCATTGCTGAAAGAGGGGAGGGATTGTTTTGGTTTTTTTTTATTTTATTAATTAATTAATTTTTTGAGATAGTCTCATGGTGTGGCTTGGCTGGTCTGGAACTTTCTATTAGATCAAGCTGGTCTTAAACTCAGGGGAGTCCTCTGCTTCCCAGCATGCTTGCCTTGCAGTATTTATTCAGAGTAGAAATGAGCGGCATGTGATGGCATACAACGGTAATCCCAGAACAGGGCAGATACGACAGAGTTTGAAGCCAGTGTGGGTTATTGAGTGAGACCCTGTCTAAAAATAAACAATATAAATAAGTCATGGAAATAATTTGTCATATGGGAATGTATAATATATATTAATTTGCTGATGCATTAAGTTTAAACAGTTTGTGGTTTCAGTACATTTGCTAATGTGGGTTTTATTTTTTTGCTACAAATTTGAATTTGAAAAACATGCTCAATTCATAGGTAAATATTTTCTTAATAGAATAACTTAACTGATATCTACTGTTCATATATATATGTATATATATGTACGTATATATACTGGATCATATATAATCCAGGGCTGCTGCATATATTTTATAAAATTTATTCACTAAAACATAAGAGATTATGAAGTTCATGATATGTAAAACATGTTCATATTTAAGCTTCTGGAAGTTTGATGAGTAACATTTTACTATTTTAATATAGGAATTTGGATAAAGAGAGGGCGGTGCTACTACAACGCCGGAAAAGAGAAAATATGTCAGGTATGTCAGGACTTATTCTAAATTAAAATTAGTGTGATTAAGAAAATAAGTGGTCTGAATGTTTTTAATTAAATGTAAAAACAACTGTTTGCATTTGTTTGTTTGTTTGTTTTTGTTGTTTTTTGAGACAGGGCTTCTCTATGCAATAGTCCTGGCTGTCCTGGAACTCACTTTGTAGACCAGGCTGGCCTCTCAATCACTGAGATCCACCTGCCTCTGCCTCCCAAGTGCCATCACTGCCTGACCTGCTTGCTTTTTTACTTAAAAAAAAAAAATGTGTGCATGAGTGTTTTGCCTAAATGTATATCTGTGAACCATGTGTGTGTCTGGTACCTATAGAAACCAGAAGAGGGAGCATTGGCTCCCCAGGACTGAAGTTACAGTTAGGAGCCATCATATGGGTGCCGGGAATCAAACCCCTGTACTGTGGAAGAGCACCTACTACTTACACTTTGTTAATGTATTTTGAGTGTATGTTTTACTTATAATCTCAGGTATAGGCTTTTTTGATTACAGAATATGCATGTTTGTATTTTAAAAACACATAGGAACCAGAACAGAACAAATGATAAGCTTCAATCAGCTCTTGTTCTCATATATAGGTAACCGTTAAAGAAATGAAGTGTATTGGTCAGAAAGTAGCCCATTTCTTTACCATACAAGATAGTAGTTCTTTAATTTTTCAGATGCCATTTTCTTAATTTTGTATATGCTGCCATTTTTCTGTTTGGTGTTTTTGTTTGTCTTTGTTTTTTAGATAGTTTTCTATTTAGCCCATGTTGGCCTGAGCTCACTAGCCCAATCTGTCCTGACATGACTCAGTTATGTAGTTCACAGTGAAGGCTTGTCTCAGATTGGGTGATCCTCTTGCTTCCCAAGTACTGGTATTATGAGCAGGTGCCACTATGTCTCAGCATGTCACATTTTTTTTTTTTTTTTTGGATTAAGACTAATCCAAACAGTTTTAAATAATTTTTTTATTCAGCCATTGCTCTTTGGGTAGACACTGTGGCTTATATCCAATTGTTTTGTTATGTTGTTCTGAAAAGTTCCTTTATTTGGACAATGGCGCATAAGTTTGCTTTTGTGTTTCAGCTGTTTTATGGAATGACAGGCTAATATTTAAGTGAATATATGATTTTTATAGATATTACTATCCTAGAAAATTTGAGTTGCCTTAGTCATGTGTACTATTGCCTATTTCCCGAGAACCCCAGAGTACTATTTCCCGAGAACCCCAGAGTATGTCATCAGACATTTATCCTCTATGATTTAATGTGTAAGAAAAGCATTTAGTTTACATATAGGTCTGTCTTTTGAGTGAGTGAATAATTGAAGTAAGAACATATGTTTTCTTTAGGAACAGGGAAGTGACATTTTGTTAGGTGCAGAGTTGCTTTCTTTTCCTGCTTGAAAGTATTAAATTTCGGTGACTTTATTTTTCATTGAAGATGGTGATACCAGTGCAACTGAAAGTGGTGATGAAGTCCCTGTGGAATTATATACTGCATTTCAGCATACTCCAACTTCAATCACTTTAACTGCTTCCAGAATTCCCAAGGTTACTGACAAAAGAAGGAAAAAAAGTGGGGAGAAAGAACAAAACTTTTCAAAGTGTAAAAAAGTACGTTTTTGCCTTTTTATTTCAGATGAGTAGATAAAGTTGGTATGAACTGAGTTACAGGCAAGACATGACAATAGGAAGAGCATGGGTAACAGCTAAATATATGGGAAGTTCTAGCAAAAATGTATTTAAGTTTTTTTTGAGCATTACTATTTAAAAATTGCAGTGTATTTTAAAGATTGACATGTACTACAAAAGAATCATTGCTCATTGTGTTGGAATCACTGTTCTAACAAGACAAATAACAGAAACTGTAAATGCTAAAGTGAGGCAGAACAGACTGAAAACACAAATAACAGCCATATATTTTAATAGCTAACTAGGTAAGGAAGCATGTAATGATTACTTATAACTTCTTAACTTTGGAAAATATTCATTTTAATAAAGGCTTTCTAGTTAGTGAACTTATTTTTGTCTTCTAAATTTTTTTTTTTAATATATGATCCCTTAGTCTATAAACTGCCGTTTACAGACTAATGTTTCATTAAATTTGTTACTTACAAATTCTCAATGACAGCAAATGCGTTCATGGTCCTGTCAAATTATAAGTGAAGACATTTTATCAAGTATTTTTTTAATGTACCTTTTCTATGTTTGTGTTTTTTTTTCTCGAGACAGGGTTTCTCTGTGTAGACTTGGCCATACTGGAACTCACTTTGTAGACCAGGCTGATCTCAAACTCACAGTGATCTGTCTGCCTCTGCCTCCCATATGCTGGGATTAAAGGCATGCACCACCACTGCCCAGTGAAACATACAATATTGATCATTATTTTCATGCAGATACTTATTAACAGGTTACAATTGCTCATAAGAACATAATGTGTAGAGTTATATCCAGGATCAGTAAATTATGCCATGTGTAGCTTAGGTGTGTGGTTATACTATAGCTCATAGACTTATGTACATATTCTTCGTGATATTTACAATAAGGACAGAATAACTTAATAATGCAGTTCTCAGAATGTGTCCCTGTTAAGTAATGTGATATAATTGCTAGTGAAAATATTTGTCACATAAGGTTAAAATACTCTACATTGACTATATTCCTATGGAAGAATGAAATTATGTACAGATAAGTTATGGCTTTAAAATCAAGGTTCTTTTTCTCTTGAGTAATTTTTCATGGTGTACTTTAAATTTTTTCATTTTCTAATTTCATCTTTCTGTAACTATTGAAGTCTCTTCTGTTTGTTTACCCAGTCTAGACAGTTAAATGTCACTACAGGCACCCACAGTTTGTGGCCACATCTCTGTTACACTGTTCGTTTTCACCTTTTGAAATAGTCCTTTGCTACTAGACTGAGCTTTAGCTTTTAAGGAATGTTGCTTTTAAAGCAAGTACAATTTTTCTTTGCATCCTGTCATGGCATTTGAGCCATTATTCTGTTATTAGTTTCCTCATCTCTAATTTTTCACAAAGAGATCACATGTCTTTTACTGTATTGTATCCGATGGATATGAATTCAACCTCTTTTTAAAGTACTCAGTGACACAGTAGGTGACTTGGCCTTTGAGTACTGTGTTTCTGTGAGACTAGAGCTTTGTTTTGTATAAAAGTTATGTGGAAATTTGATCCTAGTAGATTTGTTTTACATCATTTGCTTTAGTAAAGCATAGATTGTATATTTTTGGGTGAAATGACTACTGAGTATTCAAAATGAATGATCCTGGGTCTTCATTGTGTTGTTTCAAAATACTGCTGTATATTATAAATAGAAGATACTTTATCAGATGTTTGTAGGGACAAAACCCGATTAGAGGTACCACTGACCATGCCCATTTGGGCCTGGTTACAGGTACCACTGTAGTATTTGACAGGAATTAAAGAGTTAAGAAAATCCAAGAACTGGGCATAAAACTCTGTTCTTCAGTGTGCGTTAGTTTTTTAATATGGGGGCAGTGTACAATAAAAATATATAATTTTACTTTATATTCAGCCTATTTTGATTTAGATGTTGAAAATGAATGGAATTATTCATAAATTATTGAACAGAAATATATTTGTAAAATCCTATTAATGTATTCTTAGTGCTTAAGTAATTCAAAATTGATATGAAGCATTAGCATTAAATAAACTACATTAAAAAGCATTCAGTTTGATTGCCTACAAAGAAGAGTTTACTGACAGCGAATAATAGTTATGAGTGCCTTATTATAGCTTGAATGTCCCTAAATCTGAACATCTGAAATGGTTCTCAGAAAGGTTTAGAAATTAGAGCATTCTGGATTTTGAATTATGAATTTCAAATTAGGGTTTAATCCAAAACCTGCGAGTGTAAAAACAGTCTGGAAAACTTATAAGCTTATTGAGTATTTTGGGTAAGGGACACTCAACCTGTGCCATTTTTCTTTTCCAAAGCATTAAAAGAGAAGTAACTGTTTCCTCCCACAAGCCATGTTATCTTCGAATTTAAGCCCATTGGTTAAATAAGCTAATGAAAAGATCCTGGAGACATCCTGCCTAGTTTCAAATCCTCATTCTTTTGTTATGTTTTGTTTTGTTTGTTGAGACAGGGTCTCACTGTGTAGTCCTGGTTAGCCTGGAGTTCACAAAGATCCACCTGCCATTTCCTTAGTGCTGACATTAAAGGCTTGCTCCACCATGTGCATCAAATACCATTTTCCTTTGTGTTTCCTTCTACACCAAACTTGTATCTTCTTTGGTCGAGTGCGCTCGTGTGTGTGTGTGTGTGTGTGTGTGTGTGTGTGTGTGTGTGTCAGCAGCATAGCCAATACTCAGGCTCTAAAGTGTGTAAGTCATATTTAGCCTTTGATATCAAATTTATTCTGAAAAGCTCTATTGAGTTTTCTGTTGAAATGTCTTGGTATATTTTTAATCTTTGTGCTATTACAAATTTAGTCCCAGCCCCCACTGTCTTGTAGTACAGTTCATAAAATGTGATGCTTATAATATTTAGTACAAAAAATACTTTGAAGTTTTTATCTTAGCATCATTCTAAACACACTTTATTATTCTAAATAGTTTATATTATATTTATAGTATAATAGTATTCTAGTATACCTTTGTTTACTTCTCTTACTTGTTCTAGTTTGTTATTGCCAAATTATTTCGCTTCAGCAAAACGCTTCAGTGAACCAGTTGATTGTTAGTTATAACCAAGTTAAAAAACAAAAAAAAACTAACTCAGAATTCCATGCTTATTTTAGGCCTTTCGTGAAGGATCTCGGAAATCATCAAGAGTTAAGGTAATTATATTAAGTTAAGGCATTATTGTTAACTAGTGATAAATTGAGAGCTTGCTGAGTTAGCTTGATTGTTTATGTTGGTACTTTATTCTCTATGGGGTTTGATTTCATTGCTTAATACATTTACAAGAAATAGGGCCTTAAACTTCTAATCAGATTAATAAATCACTCTTATTGTTTATTGGCATTGTTACATCATTAACGAGAAGGGGGAGGTATGTAAATACCAGTATTAAAATTGGAATAATGAGGGGCTGGGGAAGTGGCTCATTGGTTAACAGCATTGGCTGCTTTTCCAGAGTACCTGGGTTCACTTCCCAGCACTCCCATGACAGCTCACCACTGTCTGTAATTGCAGCTCTAGGACTTCCAACACCTTCACACAGACACACATGCAGGCAAAAACACCAATGCACATAAAATGATAATAATAATATTCCATTTGTCATTGTATTTCATATCTCTGATGCTTCAAAAGTTTGTTAGTATACTCTACACATTAATCCAGAGTCACATTGAAAATTGCAGTTGGAATTCTGAGGTAATCGAGCTTAACACTGCATTATAAATTCATCATAGTCTGTTGGTAATACAAACTGCCACATAAACCTTGAATTATTAGCATATATCCTCAAATTTTTGGATGCTCAAATTCCCAGTGGAAGCAAGGCTCTCCACCTCTGCTTTTTCCATAAATACAGATTTATGATGTTATAGAAGTATCTTTATTATATAGATTTCTGGGCTAGGTAATAAAGGAAAACATTTTTTTTTATTTTTTTGTTTTGAGACAGAGTCTCAAAACTTACTTACTATGTAAACCAGGTGGGCCTTAAACTTTCAGTGATCATCTTTCCTCTGTCTCCTAAGTGCTAGAATTAATGGGCACCAGCACACCTAGCACTAATTTTTTAAATTTCCAGCTTAGTAGTAAAAAAGACAAAATGAATATATTATAGCATTTTTGTCCCTATAATAGAAAACACAATAATTATACATTTCTGAAATGTATTCTCTAGAAGGTTACTCTTAATTTTGTAATTCTTTCTCAAGAACATTAATATGTGATGTTTATTATGATGCATGTTCAAATGTTCTTTGAATTTATATTAATAGAGAGTTTCCTACTTATTATATTACTTGAATTTGTGCAGTTGTGACAGAGTAAAGAAGTCTGAACTTTTTTTTGTTTTTGTTTTTGTTTTTGGAGACAGGGCTTCTCTGTGTAGCTTTGGAGCCTATCCTGGCACTCGCTCTGGAGACCAGGCTGGCCTCGAACTCACAGAGATCCGCCTGCCTCTGCCTCCTGAGTGCTGGGATTAAAGGCATACGCCACCAATGCCCGGCCGAAGTCTGAACTTTTAAGAAAGGTTTTTTGAGGGAGTAAAAGATGGCTCGGGAGTTAAGAACACTAGTTGTTACTGGTGAGGACCTGGGTTCAGGTCTAAGCGTGCACATGGCTCACAACTGTTTTAGTCTCAGTTTTAGGGGCTCTGACCCCTTTTTCTGCCCTCCGTGGGCACTGGGCACACATGGTTCATATATACGGCAAAGCACTCACACACAAAAGTAAGTCTTTTCAAAGTCGATTTCAATTACCAGTACTCTAGCATTTTCTCCCTATTTTATCTGATTGAATACTAGGCTTAAAAGAAAGTGATATCTTTTTAATTGAAACAATTCTTTATTACATAAAAAAGTGACTAGGAAAATGGAAATTTTCTTTGTTAAAATCTTAAATAAAAACCCTTTTACCTTAAAAGCATTACCACTCCAGTAATTCTTGAGTTAAATTTGTAAGATTAAAGGGCTGTAATAAAGATATATATCAAGTTATTAGTAGTTTGTTGCAGGTAACTAAAAATTTAAAACTAAATTTATTCCTGTAGTATAAAGTTGTGGGTCATAAATCTTTTATTTATCAAATAATTTATCAATAATGTCTGTATATACATAAAATATCCATTCAATTGTTTTTTTGTTTTTTTTTGTTTTTTTTGTTTTGGTTTTTTTGAGACAGGGTTTCTCTGTGTAGCTTTGGAGCCTATCCTGGCACTCACTCTGGAGACCAAGCTGGCCTGGAACTCACAGAGATCCTCCTGCCTCTGCCTCCCGAGTGCTGGGATTAAAGGCATGCACCACCAACGCCCGGCTTATTTTGGTTTTTCAAGACAAGGTTTCCCTGGGTAGCTTTGGAGCCTGTCCTGGAACTAGCTCTTGTAGACCATACTGGTCTTGAACTCACAGGAATCTGCCTACCTCTGCCTTCCAAGTGCTGGGATTAAAGGTGTGCGCCATCACCACCAGGCCATTCAATTCTTAATAAATTGGTTGTTTTTTTTTTTTTTTGGTTTTGTTTTGTTTTGTTTTTTTGAGTGCTGGTCATTTGAGTTAGGGCATTATAATGCTAAGAGTGCATTCTACACATCCCAATGTCACATAGTAACAGCTGATCAAGTGATAGAATAAACCGGTTCCCATCAAACAGTTGATGAGCTTATTACAGTCTATTGTTCATTACAGGAAAGGACTGTAATAAAGGTTACTTCTTTAGAAGATGACGTGATGCTACATTTTAGTAATGTGTTAACTGTCCCTCACTGCACCACTTTCCCCAATACTGGAGGTTGAACCTCAGGCTTTGTGCATGCTAGTAAAATATTGTATCAATGAGCTGTTCTCTTCCTCTTTCGTTCTTTCTAATTTTGGGAACAGGGTCTCACTTTGTTGCCCGAGCTGGCCTTGACCTCACTATGCCAAATGAACGGTCCTCTTATATCAGCATCCTTAATAGCTGGAGGTGCAGGTTTGTGCAACAAATGTTGCCTGGTAGACTTGGCTTACAAATAGAGATGACTTAGTGTTTAAGAGTACATAAGCATCTATTCAAGTTAAAACATACAAGTTTGCTGCTATGGAAGTGGATATTGGCAGTAGAATCACATTTTTTTTTTTTTTTTTGGTCAATACCCGAGGACTGATTCAATTTTAAGCATTTGACTTTATTGATATAATCTTTAAATTGTCTAGCATAATGAAAATGAGTCTTGAATTTTTATTTTGGTGTAACTCAGCCTTCACAAGTTTCTCAGCTTATTTCCTGGCATGTAGTATAAAAATTTAATGGGCTAACTTACGAGCTTTTAATTGGGATTAACTTAGATAGCCAAACACTGTAGTTTCTATTCTTTTATATAAATTGCTACTTACTTGTATATATGCGTTCATGTGTGTGTGTGTGTGTGTGTGTGTGTGTGTGTGTGTGTGTTTACATTCAAACAGTAATCTTTATTTTGGTATGATTTTAGGGTTCAGCACCAGAAATTGATCCTTCATCTGATGGTTCAAATTTTGTATGGGAGACGAAAATCAAAGCATGGATGGATCGCTATGAAGAGGCAAATAATAACCAGTATAGTGAAGGTGTTCAGAGGGAGGCACAAAGAATAGCTCAAAGACTAGGCAGTGGGAACGACAACAAAGACATGAATAAGTCAGAATTGAGTACCAACAACTCACTCTTCAAACCTCCTGTAGAGGTATATGTCACTTGTCAAAAATTGTGGAGCTGCCTTTGTATTATGTGTCTCTTTAGTTGGAGTGAAATTAACCAATTTAATGTCTGCATTTACTGCACTTATTGATTCTAGAGCCATATACAGAAGAATAAAAAAATTCTGAAATCTGCCAAAGATTTGCCTCCTGATGCACTTATCATTGAATACAGAGGGAAGTTTATGCTGAGAGAACAGTTTGAAGCAAATGGATATTTCTTTAAAAGGTATATATATATATATGTGTGTGTGTGTGTATATATGTTGGTTTTCTATAGTTAATTTTGTTTGTTTGTTTTTTGAGACAGGGTTTCTCTGCGTAACAGCTCTAGCTGTCCTGGAACTCGATCTGTAGACCAGGCTGCTCTTGACAGAGATCTGCTTGCCTCTGCCTCCCAGTGCTGGGACTAAAGGTGTGCACCACCACTGCCTGGTGGGTTTTGTCTTGTTATGTGTTTTTTTTGAGATGTTTTTATTCTATAAAACAGGTTGGCCTGGAACTCTTTTTATTCTTCCTGCTTTGGCCTCCCTTAATGCTGCATTTACAGAGATGAGCCACTACTCCCAACAAAATGAATGTGTGCAGGAGACACACACACACACACACACACACACACACACACACAAAAACACACATGTATGTATCTGTGGGCATGTTCATTCCATGGAACCCATATGAAGGTCAGAGAACCACTTCAGATTTCAGTCTTCACCTTCCACCTTGTTTGAGACAGAATCTCTTGTTCACTGCCCTACATTCCAAGCTATCTGGCCTGGCCTCATTTAGGGACTGTTTCCACCTCCCAACTTGATGTAGAAGCACTGGGATTGCACGCCGCACCTGGATTTATAGATTCTGAAAATTCTAAGCCAGCCCTTAAAATCGCATGGCAAGTGTTTACCTGCTGTGCTGTGCTGTCTCCTTAGTCATCCCTGGTTTTTTGAATACTGTGTCTAGATGCTTTATGTGATTTTTCTTCTATGTGGTAATTTCAGTATTTTCAAGGATAGTGAGGTTGACATGCCAATGATAACTTTTGTAGTGTGCTGACATGTAAAGATTTATCTCCCAACCTCTTGCCCTTTTCTGTGTTGCTGAATTCTAAAGTAAGCCACTTTAAACAAGTAAAAGCAAGATAGCTTAGCTACCTAGGGTGTTGGTCAGGAATTCTCATTACCTAGGGTGTTGGTCAGGAATTCTCATTACCTAAGATTGTCAAGAACCTTTCCACCTACTACCCAAGTTGTAACATACTTGCTAGAATCTGAAGAGAGTGGTGATTAGAAGCAAAAGTCACCTTCTTTGTTAGACAGTGTTGGTGATGTCCCCATGCTACGGCCACCACTTTAACTCCCTGTTCCCTTCCTTAGTATCAGAGTGACTTTGGAGGCTTCTTTTGTGGTTTGGGATTCTGGTGGAGAATTTATATGATCTTTTGATAGCAACTGCTTTTCAGAGGTATAGAAACATGTTACTATCCTTAAGCCTGTACTGTTTAATACATTGACACTATTAACACTCTTAGATTATAATTTGAGTATTTACTTAAGCCATAAAAGATACATAAGGTCTATGCCTCTTATGTTATCTGAAATTAGTATAAATCAGTTTTAACCACACCAAGAATGGTGCTTTAAAATCATTTCTAATGAATTTCTGCCTCCTGGGGGTGAGTGAGATGGCTTAGCAGTTAACAGCACTGGCTCTTCTTTTAGAGGACATGGTTTGACTTCCCAGCACCCACATGGTGGCTCACAACCATCTATAACTCCAGTTCCAGGGGATCCAAGGCCCTCTTCTGACTCTAGGTACTAGGCCACAGCTGGTACACAGACATGTTCAGGCAAAATGCCCCTACACATAAAATAAAAATATAAAACAATTTCAACCTTAATTGCTTTTGACTTTAGGCAGACTTGTTATTGCCAAATGTGTCTTAGAAATTTCTTAATCTGTTATCTGTTTACCTCTGAATAAACAGGAAATTGTACAGTTTTGTTGTTTGCTTGTTTTGTGGCACTAGGGACTAAACTGAGGATGCCTTGCCTGCCAGGCAGGTACTCACCACTAAACTACCTCCTCCAGACCTGCTGTACTAAAAGCTGTACTCCTTCTTTGTTTGTAGGCCATACCCTTTTGTTTTATTCTACTCTAAGTTTCATGGGCTAGAAATGTGTGTTGATGCGAGGACTTTTGGGAATGAGGCTCGATTCATCAGGCGCTCTTGTACACCCAATGCAGAGGTAAGCTTATCTTAGGAGAAACAGGAACACAAAAGATGAAAGGCTGCACCTGTGTTATTTTGCTCAGTATTTTTCTTTTGTCCATATTTAGGTGGTAATCTCTTTTCTTAAGATTACTATCCATGGTTGTGCACTCAAGTCTTTTAATCACTTGGGAGGCAGAGGCAATTCAAAGCTGGCCTGTTCTTCATAACAAGTTCCAGGCCAGCCACTGCTACATAGTGGGACCTCGTCTCACTTTTTTTTTTTTACTTTATCTATGAAACTGTGATTTTTCTTTGTAAGAGGAAATATTACATTTTTGTTTATATTGGAAGCTCTGTGTTTTCGTATCACATAGCTAAAAGCTAAAGTAGATTTAATATTTTTGCATTTATTTATAGTGTGTGCCAGCACACACATGGAAATCAGGACAACAGCTTGGGAGAGTCACTTCCTCCTTCTCCCATGAGGGTTCTCAGGATTGAACTCTTAAAAAAGATTAGCAGCAAGACCCTGTACCACCTGGGTTATCTCACCAGCCCTAAGTAGATTTTACTAGTTTATAACCTTGTCAGTACCTTTCACTCTTGTTTGTGTGTATGTGTAGTGGTGGAGACCAATGCTAGAACCTCACACGTTGTGCATGTGTTTTACCACTTAGCTGCATCCCCAGCCTTGTATGCCTTGCTTTTATGCATAAAACAGTCATTCTGAACTAAGAGTATCATGGGAAGGGAAACTTTGTCAAAGAAAAGTATTCTTAGGTGTACCATTAGTGCACACTCATACCCAGGGTGATTTAGGACTTCAAAGAATCCACAATTTCAAGCATGCTATATGTATGTTCAGATAATGAGATGGCAGTGTTGTATTTTGAGTGTCAGAGGATAGGCGGTAGTGCTGACAGTGTACTTTTGAAAGCCTTTCAGGTGATGATTGATGTGTAAGTCTTGTGATGAATGGCTGTTTCCATGTCATGCTTGTAAAATGCTTTTAAGAATGTTTTTAGCCAGTCATGGTAGTGTAGTGAGACACTATCAAAAACAAACAACATAAACGAATAGTAATGAATAATCTTCCTAATAGTGTATAGGAATATATAATTATGCTTCTTAACAGGTAAGACATGAGATTGAAGAAGGAACCATACATCTCTACGTTTACTCCATACAGAGTATCCCAAAAGGGACTGAGATTACTATTGCCTTTGATTTTGACTATGGGAATTGGTAAGTTCAAGTCTGTAAATGCCTTAGTTGTTTGAAATAGATTAATGTCTTCATCTTAATTTAGACATTGTTATTATCAGGAGACGGTTGGAAGTACCCGAAATTAAGTGTGCTGTTATCAGTAATCCTATCCATCCTTGTTACTTACTTTATAGACTTGAATGTGATGTGAGTGTTCAGACCTTCTAATTATTAGCTTGAATCTCTCTATACAGCACTGACTTCATTATGTGAGAATTTTTTCTCTCACTTTCTTATACTGCAACTGGTTAAATAACTTCCTTGGTCATTTGTTATGAATACATAATTTTTTTCATAAAAACAAAAGGTACTGTATCAGTTTTTCTTTGCATTGTATATCCTGCAGTAAAACTTCAAGAATTATTGTTTTGAAATGTTAGGGAGGAAATCATTAATTTGTGATTTAAAAATAACCTATTTGTATTTTTAAAACTATAGCAATGAAACACAAATATCCATGTACTTATTTTCCAAATTAAATAAATTAGATGTAGCTGTAGAGTGCTTTTCTTTTTTTTTGAGGGTAAAGAAGAGGATTTAGGCTAGCCTCAGACTCCCTAAGATGTTCTTGAACTCTGCTTTTCCACCCTCTATTTCTCGAGTGATGGAATTAACAGATGTGCACCACATGCAGACTCTTTCACTCTTTTGTAAATATTTTAATTCGTTTCCTCCTGTATTTTATTATTTGCTTGTTTTTATGTGTGTATGTCAGTGTGTACGATGTGGGTGGATGCCAGAGGCCAGAAGGGGGCGCTGCTGCTGGATCTGGATTGGCAGCTGTCTAGCTGTGGGTGATGGGAACCAAACTTGAGTTCTCTGAAAGTGCTCTTCACTCTGAGTCATCCTCTTACATATTATTAAACATTTTATGACAGGCATCATTTCTAAAATTAAGTTTTGAAGTGTGCATTGATTTCCTTTACTGTGCAGCCCCTTTACCTTCAACATGTATCTCTACTGTTGAGTCATAGTTATCATAACAATGTAGACTATCTCCCCTTTTTTTTAATTTTTATTTGTGTGTGTGTGTTTATGTGAATGTATGCCACATGTATATTGGTTCCTGAATAGGCCAAGAGGACCCTGAGTCACATGGAGGTAGGGCTCTGCACTCTATGGGTGCAGGGATGTAAACTTGGATTCTCTACTGCCCCAGGATGTGACCTTAACTGCTCAACCAGCTCTCCTGCCTCAGGAAATAGACTATTTTGAAAGCCTATTAGTAAACAGCATGAATGTTTAATTGGTGGTGCCTCTTTTTTTAAAAAGACGGGGGCTTCCCTGCTGCCTTAGTCTCTCCAGCTTTTTAAAAGCTCTTAACCTCTCAGAAGGGGGAAGTGAAACAAAATGGCTGGGGTTACTGCTTTAGGAGAAGTTCAGAGTATAAACTTTTAAAGATCTGTGTAGTTTTATATCTAGCTTGATTACTTATTATGTAACGGTATACCAGTTTCAGCTTCACTTTGTGATTCCTTAGCTCAAGATTGAGAATACTATTCACTTAATTGAATGTTTTGAACTGTTGGTGAGTTAACATATATGAACTGTTTAAAAAGCAGTTTCTGGCATAGAGTAACTGTTGAGGTAAACACAAGTTGTTGCTATCAGACTTCTGCAGTTAAGTGTAATCCAAAAAGGAAGTATTTAGAGACTCATGAGCCTAAGCTTTAAGCTCATTTATAATATTGAGAGTATTAATTACTGTGAAGATGAGGGATAGTATAATTTTTCAGGCTCCCATTTAAAAGAAGACTTAGAATTAAAGTTTTCTTAAGGTGTCTTTTAAGGAAAACTGGTTATTAAAATCATTCCTTAAAGTATATTACAAACTAGGTAAGACCTGGTATTTAACATAGCTAGCATTTTCTTTAAGTGAAAATTCAGCATAACACTCTAAGACCAAGTAAGAGTAGTTTTTGCCTTAATGCTGTCTACATTGCACAAGCTATAGTATCCTTTTGCTTTGTTCAAAACCAACATCTAAAGGCTGGGGCTACCGCTCAGTGCTATAGCACCTGCCTAGTATATTTGAAGTATTTGTCTTTGGACTCAATCCCCAGTACCACAAAACAACAAAAATCAGTATCTAATACTTTTTTTTTTTTATGAAAAAACATCAATTTTGCCATAGTTACCAGGAACTTAAATGCTAAGGCTTAGTTTTAATTAATAACATGAATTTTATGGAGTTACAGCTTAAAGGAGATTATGAACTTCTCAGTCTTGTTTTATGTAGTAATGTTTATCTGGTTGTCATTTCAGTAAATACAAAGTGGACTGTGCGTGCCTCAAGGAAAATCCCGAGTGCCCTGTTCTGAAACGGAGTTCAGAGTCTACAGAAAACATCAACAGTGGTTATGAGACCAGAAGGAAAAAAGGGAAAAAGGAGAAAGATGTTTCAAAAGAAAAAGATATACAAAATCAGAATATTACTTTGGATTGCGAAGGAACAAACAACAAAATAAAGAGTCCAGAAACAAAACAGAGAAAGCTTTCTCCACTGAGACTATCAGTATCAAATAATCAGGTACCTCTCTCCTAATTCTCAAGGAAATTATTTTAAAGAGGAAAATGTTGTATTTAAACATCTTTTTAAGCATAAAATCATTTAATAGTCTAAATACTTATTTTTCCAGTGCTGGAGATATAACAGGGCCTAACACACCCTAGGCAAGTGTTGGACCTCTGTGCGCTATCCCAGGTCCTGTTTTGCTAAGCAAGTGTTGGACCACTGTGAGCTGTCCCTAGTCCTGTTTTGCTATTTACTTTCAGATACGATTTCCTACAATAGAAGCCACATTATTAAGAAACAACCAAGTTGACAGATCCTTATAGAGTTGAACATTTTCCTAAGACTGGGTAATTAAAGACATTCCAGATAGCCTGGGTTTTTGCTGTTTCTTTGAGAACTCACTACATAGATGAGGCTAGCCTTGAATTCAGCTCTGTCTGCTTCTGCCTCCAGAGCACAGGATTAATGGTGTGTGCCACCATGTGCCATATCTAGCTAGCTTAGGTATTAAATTGAACAGTGAAGATTTCACATCTGCAGGTTTGATGAAACTTCGTTCTGAACAAATAGGGACATAAAACCACAGTACTTACTATATTTGATTGGAACTTCATAAAACAAAATTACTTGCTTGTATGAGTTTGAAAACTTTGTTTAGAAATTCAGATTTTGGTGGGCTTCCTATTTTACACATTAAATTTTGGTTAAAAGATACACTGCAAAGATGGAGTAGTATTAATAGTAATGCCATTCCCATCTTTCAGGAACCAGATTTTATTGATGATATGGAAGAAAAAACTCCTGTTAGCAATGAAGTAGAAATGGAATCTGAGGAGCAAATTGCAGAAAGAAAAAGGAAGATGGTAAGCTGGGAGCTAGTGGCTGCTTATGGTGCCTTGGGCTGGGTCAGCTGCCCCTCTATGAGTTAACTACTTTTATGTGGGTTTCTGTCTTTCAAGGTAGCAAATTTGGGGTTCATGACATGTCATTGAGCATTTGTATTTGTCTTTGTCATTACCATTTAAATACACTTTTTTTTTTTTGTATTTTTACTGACTTTCATTGGGCATTTAAGAATGTATATCACCTTTAAGAAATAACTTTGAACATTTTTAGAGCCAAGAATTTTTAATAAATTTAATGCCACAATTATTGTTCAGTATGCCTTTTCATTAGCTGAATTGTATTTTTTTTTTTTCATGATTTAAGACAGAAACAGAACTTTAAGCTTTATATTAGTAAGTCAGGTAAAAATAACTTAGCAAAACTTAAAGATCCCATCATGGCTTAGTAGCCACAGTGTCTGTATTCTCAAAGTTATCATGAACAACAGCTCTGTCTTTCATGATTTAGCTGCAAATGTTTTGTCAGTATAAATTGGACAAGAAATTGTAAGTCAATTGTAGCAGCAGAGTGTGGTGACTCATACCTGTAGTCTCAAAGGGTTTTTAGGGATAGAGCAATAGGATTACCATGAGATGAGTAGGTTAAATAAATTACAGGGCTGGAGTATAGCTTGGTGAAGAAAATTTGTATAGTATGTAAGGGCCTGGGTTGATCTGGTGTGCACCCTCCCCGCAAAAGAGTAATTAACAATTGCAGTTAGCTTTCCATGCATATGATATGAAACTTAAAATCTTTGCCTCCTTGACCCTAGCTTCATGATCATTGTGATCTTAATTCTAACTGGAACATAACTTTGATGTTTAGTTTATTGATGTAAATAAGTTTCTAAATAATTCGGCTTTTCTTCTCAAAGCCTTATTTGACTTTGGAAAAAAAATTAATTTGAATCAGCTTTTATTCTTGTAGACTGTCATTTATACTGGTTGTATTAATACCAACAGTTGGATTGAAGAGAGTAAATGAAAAAATGGCAATTTAAAAAGAAAGTAGACTATAGATGGTAGCAATACTTCTGAGAAATTTATGTCAAACTGATTTAAATTTTTCTCTTGTGCAGGACAGTTCATTAGGAACTACTAGCTAATATGTTCCATTTACCATATTTGGATAAAGAGGAATCAGAAATGCTGTCCTCCAAGTCAAGTTCTCTGGAATCTTTTGTATACGATTCTAGCAAAACAGAATTGTTTTGCTGATTTTTATCTATATAACACCTTGCTCAGTTTTAACAAATATATTGGTATGTGAGGGTGTACTGTGTGGTGTCTTTTACTGTGCACTCTAACTGCCTGGAATTCTGTTGATCTATGTGCCCCTGCCTCCCAGTGCCTATTATAGTCAAATAGCTTCAACCTGGAGTACATGGAGTTGATTCATGATGGTCTTCACATTAAGACAGAATTGAGACTCAGTGAAAGGGTGGTCAGGAAGTAATGAGACATCTGCACTTGCCACTGTTGCACTAACTGTTGCATAAACTCCCTAACAGCTTACTTGGAACTTGTCTCGTAGGTGAGCACAACTACTCGTACCCTTAATCAGAGGCTGGTCCTCCTTTAGCTGAGGTCATCTAGCCTTTTCAACTGATTGTGCAGCTTCAGGAAGGACACATACACTTGGAGCTGGAGTAGTGTGGGAGGAAGGGGACATTAGGCTAGGAATCATTGCTGTTGATCAGTGGGTGACAGATGTCTAAGCCAGATGACTTTCACATAATAACATAAACTTACGAGAACTTGTTTATTATCATGACCTCAGCTGCTAAGGTGGGGAAAGTGCATGGCTTTTAGAATGGTAGCAGTTTAGTACTGAGCCACTTAGAAGAGAGAGGCCACGAGTATGAGCCAATTGAGTCTTCTCCACAGCCCAGCTCATGTCTATAGGCATCGCCTAGAATTATGTATGATTCTCACAGTTTTCAGAGGCAGGTTGTATTTCATAGATGTCTAATATGACATTTGTGAAAAACTGTGTTGTTATTTAGAAATTCTTTTGGTTAGCCTTATCTGCACTTGAATACCTTGCAGCTTTTGGGGTGAATGATGACTCTTCTGGAATTCATGGTTCTTATTTTAGGGAACAAGTATCCTGGGGAAACACTATTATTTTTTAGAATCTATAACTGTTACTGATGAATTTAGAAGTGACTTAACTTAGAAAAAGTTTAGAAGCTGCCAAGCTTTAATATTATTAAAGTATGGCTGCAGATTTGTTGCCAGAAGCATCATCTGACAGAAGTAGGATGGATATCATTCTAACTTACCACTGCTTTCTCCTTATTGCATGACTAAGCTGATGCTGACTAATTCTTGAGATTAGTAATCATCTTTGTTAAAATGATATGGTAGATAGTCTGTTCAAACAAAATGAGGTGGTTATGATTTAGCTGCCTTGTAATAAATAATTCAAAATCTTTAAATGCTTCCAGTTACACTTCTTCACACAGCAGTGACCTATGCTTTATAAAATATGTAGTTATTCATGTAACAAAAATCTAAGTGTTTGATACATGGGTAGGGTTTACTTACGTAAAACTAGGTGGATAGAGAATGGGCATAGTGCATCTGAATGTCAAGTAACAGGGCTCTTGAGGGTGCCTTTAACTGTGATGTGACACAGGAAATGGAGAATGCTCATTACTTTGGAATGACTTCCATTCATAATAATCTTAACCAGCCATCTTTAAGTTCATTTGTCAGTTTTCATTTCTGTGTGACAGAGGTTTGGGGAAGCTCATATTTGTAAAGTAGTAGTCTTTTTTCTGAACTGTGAGCTGGTTATTTGGTAGGTGCTTTCTGGTTTCATCTTCTGTTTACTGACAGTTCTAGAGTGAGGGATGTCTTACTATGGGGCTCTTTCAGCCTGTGGGTACTGAGACTGAGGAGAGGGGGACTGGAAGGTTGCAGAGCTGTTGTTTCCCCAACCAGCTCTCTTGTTCTTGCACTCTGGCTACTATAGGCCAGGGGTACTGCTCTTGAGGTTCAGGGATAATTTTTGTTTCAGAAAAGGCACTTGCTAGCAAGCCAGAAAAGCTTTCAGGAGGAACACACATTTCTTCTAACACCAAGTTTACCTTGGTGCTCAAATTACAGGCTTATTTTCCATTGTTTGAAATGAGTGACAGCTTACCCAGTTCAACTTGTTTTCCACAGCAAGATGGCTTAGTGTGTAAAGGCATAGATTGCCAAGCCTGTCGACTCTTGAGTCCATCTCTAGGACTCCCCTTGTGGAAGGAGAGAACTGACTCCTTCACATTGTCCTTTAGCACTTTGGAATGCATACCACTCCTTCCCACACATACACACAGATAAACTAAATTTTAAATTACACCTCAAGTAGGAAGAGGTAAGATTATTTTTTTTTTCTTCTGCTTACAGGAAATTATAATACTAAGAAATACCAGAAGAATAGTGTATCAATAGGTCATGTGGAATATCCCACATAACTCTAGCTAACACTCCAGCATAACAGGATACCATATCTAGTTGTGAACTGGAACCTGTCAGTTCCGAAGCTCACAGATAATGAATTAAGCCATGGGTTGCATCACTGTTCTAAACCTCAGCCGTGAGAAGCTATAGTCTTGCTAGGGTTAATCAGGATGTCCAGTATTCCCTGTTTCCTCACCAGCTCCAGTTCCCTATAAACTACATCAGACCTAACATACTTTTCAGAGATCTATAAAATGGTTACAAATTCTTATTCATTAAATACACATCTTTACACAAGACCATGTACCAATTAATGCATTAGATACAGTGGTGAATATAAAAACTGAATGAACTTGAGCTGGGCATGTAGCTCGAGTCTTTAATTGTAGCACTTAGGAGGCAGAAGCAGGCAGATCTCTGTGAGTTCAAAGACAGCCTGGTCTACATAGTTCCAAGACAGACAGAGCCACACAGAGACCCTGTCTTTTAAAACAAACAAATAAATGAATAAGCTAATGGTTTTTATCCATTCAGCCAATCATTTATTTTCAAACATTTGTGTAACTAACAAATCTCAATTAAAGTCATTCGGAATTTGTTTAGTGCTTTCAACTTTTGCTATATAATAAATGCTTGTAGGAATGTGGTAAGAATGGTGCATTGTGTGGCATCAGTGGTTAATTGGAAAGAAGGTAGTTTATACCTTTGAGTCATCTACATATGTGGTGGGCTTTTGTTCCCTCAGTAATATGCAATGTGACATTTTCTAGGCGGACTTAACCAACTAAAGATTATGAACCACCTCTAACATGTTTTATTTAATCAACATGTCACACAACTTTCAAGGGAGTTCAACGATACAGTTTTATCTCAGATTCTCAATCTCACAATCCCAAACAAGGAAATCCTAGATTATGTCAAAGAAATTTGATATACATATAGTTATAATAGGATAACTATAATAAAGAAAATCTCTTCTTTGGGTATCTATCTAGTAGAGTTACTCACACACAAAAGCATCAGGAGAAACGGCTCAGTGGGTGAGGGTGCTTACTGCTTACTCCTGTGGAGGACCTGGGTTCCTTGCCCAGCACCTACATTCATGGCTCACAACTATAACTCCAGTTTTAGGAGATCTGATGCCTCTTTCTGACCTCCAAGGGCACCTACATGCATAGTCCACAGAAACACAGGCAAACACACAAAAATAAGTATTAAGAAAAATAATAACGTTGTTGTAAAACAAGCTTGTTTCTTCTGAAAAATGTTTTCCCTAAGTTTTAAAATGTTTTTGAAAAGAAGCAATCATGGTAGTTGAAGTCTCCCCTCCAACCAGGTTCAACGGTGAGGCAATTTTAAGAATTACTTTTGTCAAGTCTAGATTTCTAAATGAAATCTGATATACAGAGACAGGGTTTGTTTTTTTTGTTTTTTTTTTTGTTTTTGTTTTTTTAATAGTAATTGAGTAAGGTAGAGACAGAAATTTGTCTAACAATTTGGCTTTAAATTTTTCAGTCCCACCAGGCCACCATACTGGTGCATGCCTTTAATGCCAGCACTTGGGAGTCAGTGGCCAGCCTGGTTTAGAGAGCTAGTTCCAGGGTAGGCTCCAAAGCTACACAGAAAAATCCTGTCTCAAAAATCCAAAAAAGAAAAGAAAACATTTTTCCTGTTCCAGTGAACTAATGAAACCATGTTTTGAATTACCCATTATTCCAGATTACATGAAAAGATGCAGCTGTGTGTCCATGAACAAGGAATCTTACCTCTGTGGACTCATGTCCTCTGTATAAATTAAAAAGGGTAAAAATCAGAAACTTTGCAAAGCTATGTCAGCACCTTTTGTTCCCTTACTGAATGTGCTTAGTAACAGTTACACATGCCTAAATCTCTGCCAGTAATTATTGGAACTAAAGCTGAAGCTCCAATGTTTCGAAATCTGTGGCAACCAGATCTTGAGTTTCTGATCTTTCTTTCTTTCTTCCCCACATCGATGACAATGAAGGAGGAAAGTCAAATGGATCTGAGCCTCAGGACCTGGTTCTTTGATTTGGATAACTGGACAGTTGATGGACCTGCTTCCTGGTTCTGGTTGAGAGCTGAAGCATGTGCCAGGCCCTCTGCTCAAGGCTCTGGGTCTTGCTCTTAATGTTCTCTGCCCAAGAGAACTGATGCTCAAAGGAACTCTTGCTGTTCCCTCAGCCCTGTCTTGAAGTGTCAGTGTAAGGAAGGAGCAGCAGAAGGGAGAGGAACCCTGTGAAGACTTGTGATGGAGGCACAAGTAGGAGTGAGAGTTAACATTGATGAATGCCTGCCATTCCCAAGTACTGTTTGTCTTGGAGCTCAGTAACAATCCAGTGAAGGGTTAAGTGTTGTGTGCTCTTTTCCAGGCTTAGAAATGTCAAGACTAATTTGCCAGAGTGATAGAGTGTGGTTCCGGCATGGCTTGACCCTCAGACTTTGCCTCGATGTCACAATGACACATTGACTCCTTTACTGCATTTGAGTTTTATTTTTTCTTTCTCTTTTTTTCTTTTTCTTGTTTCCTTAGGGAGTTTTAGTCTTATTTTTTAAAGGCAAACCTCTTGATTAAAAAAAAAATTTTTTTTTGGGGGGGGTTTGGTAAAACAGGGAAGTTTTTTTGTTTTTAAGATATGTTTGCTGTATTGTTCTTTTGTGATATACACTTATGAGTTGAAGTTTGGGATTCATACACATACTGAATGAATAAACTGTTCCCCATCCTACCAGCAATAGACTTGTTATGCTAAAATCTGTCATGAACATTTGACATTTGGAATAATGATAGTATTTACTTCAAACTTTAAATTCCATAGACAAGAGAAGAAAGAAAAATGGAAGCAATTTTGCAAGCTTTTGCCAGACTTGAAAAAAGAGAGAAAAGACGAGAACAAGCTTTGGAAAGGATCAGCACAGCCAAGACGGAAGTTAAGCCTGAGTGTAAAGAGTCACAGGTCATCACAGATGCTGAAGCTAGCCAGGTATTATTACTTAGGTTTGCCTTTACTTTCAGACTGAAGTGCCTTCAAGTATTTGTACACAATATATGGTTTCTGTGTAGTTACATCTACAGAAGTGGTTTCTGTTTAGTTATATCTACAGAAATGATTTCAGTGTGGTTGCATACTGTTGTATACATGGGTTGGAGGGTGGCAACTCTTGAGTCAGTACTGTCTCCTCGGTCATGTGGACTCTGAGGCTCAAAGGCCATCTCACCAGCTATGAATTTTAAGTAGTATCCAGTATTATCCAAATCCTATGGGAAATTTAGACTTGAAATGATAGTATATTTGCCTTGCTTAGAAATAAGAAAGTGTAGAATTACTTTGGTTTGCTGTAAGAAGTTAGCTAACCCACTAAAGCTGCTACATGCCAGCCAACTTTATGTTGGTCCCAGTACCTATGTGGCAAAGGAGAGACAACAGCCACAGGCTGTGCTCTCACATGCACACACATAAAATAAATACATTATTATTATTATATTTAGACAGGGTTTCTCTATGTAGTCCTGGCTGTCCTGGAACTCACTGTAGACCAGACTGGACTTGAACTCAGAGATCCACCTGTCTCTGCCTCCTGAGTGTTGGGATTAAAGGGGTATGCCACCACAGCCAACATAAAATACATAATTTTTTTTAAAAAAGATTCTGGAAAGCTAGTTTTTAAAGTAGATAATGTTGTATTTCAACCTAAACATACCTATAAGCATGAGAAGTCCCACTATTGTGTTTTGAACTAGGAACAAGTAAAAGAAGAAACTGCTATCAAGCCAACCCCTGCCAAAGTGAATAGAACTAAGCAGAGAAAAAGCTTTTCTCGAAGTAGAACTCACATTGGACAGCAGCGTCGGAGACACAGGACCATCAGCATGTGTTCAGACATACAGCCATCTTCTCCTGACATTGAAGTTACATCACAACAGAACGATATTGAAAACACTGTGCTTGCTGTAGAGCCCGAAACAGAAACTGCAGCAGCAGAAATAATTACTGAAGTGGAAATTCCAGCACTTAATAAATGTCCCACCAAGTACCCCAAAACAAAGAAGGTATGAGCCCTAGTGATATTTTGCACACAGGTGTCTTTTTAACTGAAAGTAACTGTCTTACACATTTTTGCACTCAGATACTTGATACAGTATGAGAGGCACCAAATTGTCAACATTAATAGTTGTATTATGGAGAATAAATATAAAGACCTTTGTTACTACAGTTCATGATTTATCTAAATAAGCTTTTCTAACAATATATAAAATACTCATTTATCTGAAAATGGTTTAACATACATCCTCTCTCCCATGCCTATGGAGCTAATCCAGGGCATTGTGAACGGCAGGCAAGGACTCTACACCAGAGCCACACTCCCAGCCCTTCTTCATTGTCTGTACATTTACAGTCATAAGAATGAAAAGGAAAGAAACTTACGGTTTCAACAGAATGTACTAAGAATGTGGATTTGTTTATTTGTATGTGCCAGAGTGCACGTGTGGCTTACAGTGGGTAAGTTGCAGGAGGCAGTATTCCCTGTTGCTATGCTGCTTCCAGGCTTGACAGGAAAGTACCCTTACCCACTGAGAAAGGTCAGTTTTAGGTCAAAAATTATCACAGTTAATGAAACAGTTTGAACTTTTCAGCTCAAGAGTAACAGTATAACATTAGGGGCTGCTGTTTTTCTCTAAATGACAGCATACAGGGATAAGTGACCATATTTTGGAACTTTTCTTTTGTTTTTCGAGACAGGGTTTCTCTGTGGCTTTGGAGGCTGTCCTGGAACTAGCTCTTGTAGATCACGCTGGTCTCGAACACACACAGATCCGCCTGACTCTGCCTCTGCCTCCCAAGTCCTGGGATCAAAGGCGCCACCACTGCCCGGCTGTATTTTGCAACTTTTTAGCTCTGTCTTTTTCTTACCTAATTTCATACACTTTGTAGAAAAGTATGCATAATGAATTCTGGTGTGAGTTCAAGATTATACGTCAGTGGCAGACTCTAATTTCCTTGCCAGAGTCAGAGGTTTTGTTGGAGACATCGGTAATGTTTCATTTAAAGCTTCTGTGCCATATACCTTAAGCAAGTGGATACTTGCCTTCAATAGTAAGAGTATTTTTCTTACCTGCATTTGGAAGGAGAAAAATTAAAGTTTTTCTTTTTGAAATGAAAAAAATACTTGAGTTTTTAAACTATTTTCTCAATTACAAATCATTTACATATTAAATATAAAATATAAATATTTGTTAAAAGCAAAATGTTGGCAGTGCTATGTGTTTATTTACATCACATTTTATCATTCTGTTTAATAATACATAGAATAGCATTGTTCTTCAAAGGTACAGACAAATTATCTATATAGGAAAAGGAAGATGGACTGTTTCTTGTATGAGTATGTAATACTTCCCAACACCAAAAAATAATGTTCCTAAGCAACTGGGTTTTTCTTTGTTTTTTTGTGTGTTTTTTTTTTTTTTTTTTTTTTTTTTTTTTTTTAACAGTTAAGGAGTCATTAGTCTTCAAGACCAGGTATAATCAGGTAGCCAAGAGAAACTAGATTATAAGGGCTGGGGTGTGGCTCAGTGGAACAGCACTTGCCTAGGGTGTGCAAGGCCCAGGGCATAATCCTAAGGATTTCTCAAAGAAGAACAACAACAAAGGCTGAATTCTGTACAAGGGGGAATGATAAAATTTCAAAAGTAAAGGATCTTCAGAGGTATTTCAAACCTCTAAAGACCCAAGGATTGACTGTCAGTGTAGACATGCTTCTTTATCCATGTGCTAACCTCATCTCCAGGCGACTATGATGGGCACCTTGTTTAGAAAAGCACTCCTTGAAAAACAGACTTTCCTAACAATCCTACAGTCTCAAATAGAAAATAGAAAGCAACAGGCCTACATTGTTTGTGGTACTCACTGGTATCTCCTAGATTTTGCTATATCAATAAACGGGAAGGGGGAAAAAAGGCCCCTGGTGCTGGCTGGTCAGGTGCTTACTATATTGTAACCCAGGCTAACCTCAAACCTATGTCAGTCTTCCTGACTTAGCCTGGAATAATAGGTGGCGCACCACCATGACCTGCCAAAAATTGGTGTCTTTTGTAATATAAATTTTCTACATGTATCCATCTGTTTTATCCCTATAAAACAGTACATAATAGCCCTTAGGATAACAGTAAGTGAAAAAAAAAAAATACAAGTACTGATAGTGGGGTTTCTTTTTCACCACATAGTATGAATAATTTTTGTTAAAGATTATTACTAATTATGCATGTGTGTGTCTGTCTGTGGGTATATGCACATGAGTGCAGGTACCCATGTAGACCAGAGTGTCAGATCCCCCTGGAGCTGGAGTTACAGGCGGTTGTGAGCCACCTGACAAGGGTGCTGGGAACCGAACTTGGGTCCTCTCTGAAAGAGCAATACTTTGCTCTTAGCCGCTGAGCCATCTCTCCAGCCCAATAACATGAATAATCTAAATTACCCAACTTATCGTCTTAGACGATGTGCCAATATCTAATTTGGTATTAGAATATTCTATAGTGGAATCTGTGCAATTACTATATAGTGATCCAAATGTTTCTGTTCTCTAGCACTTGGTCAATGAATGGTTAAGTGAGAAGAATGAGAAGACAGGAAAACCTTCAGACAGCCTTTCAGAAAGGCCTCTGCGCATAACTACAGATCCAGAGGTGTTAGCTACACAGCTCAATTCTTTGCCAGGTCTCACTTACAGCCCCCATGTATACTCTACTCCTAAGCATTATATTAGATTTACATCACCATTCCTTTCGGAAAAAAAGAGAAGAAAAGAAACTACTGAAAACATTTCTGGCTCATGCAAAAAGGTAAACTTTTCTTTGGATATAAAAATCTAGGAGAAGCCAAATGCAAATTCAGTCCTTACTAGAGCGCCTCACAATGAAATGCTTTTGTGATTGGCTTTGCATTTATAGGCTATGTTTTAGCTGCAAACTAATTCTTATTCGTTTATTGTTTCTCTTTTTATTCAGCGATGGTTGAAACAAGCTCTAGAAGAAGAAAATTCAACAATTTTACATAGATATCATTCACCTTGTCAGGAAGAATCCAGAAGCCCTACAGTTAATGGTGAAAATAAAAGTCCACTACTGTTAAATGACTGCTGTTCCCTCCCAGGTAGTGCTTCTGTTCGGTGGTATTTTAGTGTGAGGAACTGTGGCAGGACAGTTGTAGCTTTGTGACAGCCGAGTCTAGTCACTGCTGTGTACTTCTGAAAAACAGCCTACTGCTACCGGTTTTCTCTTTTGTGCTCAGCAGACCTCTTGCATGTAGACAGACATAAAACTGTAGATGAAAATAACTAAGTTGGGGTTTTGAGTGGGGCTAGATGCTTTCCAGTGGATTCAAAAGGATGCCAAGACATCAGTTGCAGTAACAGCAGTACTTGATAATGCAACTTTTTTGTGACTTGTAGGCTTATAAACTTCAGGCAAGATAATAGTTGCTAATACTGAAAGTTTGTAGGCTTAAGAAAGATTTCATGTTAGTACCATTTTTTAAAAACACTAGTTTGGGGGCGAGAGTCATCTTAATTACTGTTCCTTATATTATAGCAAATACCAGCAGTATGATTTCTTATAGATTATTATTTTACCAACAGATTTAACTACACCACTAAAAAAAAGAAGACTTTATCAGTTGCTAGATTCTGCCTACTCAGAAAGCTCCACCCCTACTCCTTCACCATATGCTACACCAACTCACACAGACATGACTCCTATGGACCCAGCATTTGCCACTCCTCCACGGATAAAATCAGATGATGAAACTTACAGAAATGGTTATAAACCCATATATTCACCTGTGACCCCAGTAACTCCTGGCACACCCGGAAACACTATGCACTTTGAGGTGAGACATTTCACGGGAAGGGGAGGAGAAATGTCTATTCCTGGGAATAAGTGTTTATTAAACTTTTTTGGCAAACCCGTTCCTGCCTTGTTAACTAGTGTGGTAAGAAACTATGAAAATTGGGAACCTACATTTATATAAATTTAAACACTTTTATTTGTGCCACAATGAGCATTTTTATAATGTATATATAAAATTGACCTAAAGCAAGTGTCTTCAACAAGATTTAAATCTAAATAAAATCTAAGCATAAGTCTTTGCATTTAAATTTTCATGTCTACAAACTAGAGGTGGTTGTACTTTAATTTCTAATTTTGCTCATTACTTTTATGTAGAATATTTCTTCCCCAGAAAGTTCTCCAGAAATAAAGAGACGCACTTACAATCAAGAGGTAAGGAATTATCAAAAAACCATTCATTTGTTGATTTCCTCGAATATTATTTTGCTTAAATTACTGTTAAATAGTAAATTGTCCCTAAATGGCATTGTGTGATTCCCCTCCCTCCTACCACCAACAGGGATATGACAGATCTTCAACCATGCTAACATTGGGGCATTTTAGAAATTCCAATTTAACTGAACTGGGCCTTCAAGAAATAAAGACTATTGGTTATACTAGCCCTAGGAGTAGGACTGAAATCAACAGGCCTTGCCCAGGGGAAAAAGAATCGGTGTCAGACCTTCAACTGGGACTCGATGCAGTCGAGCCAGCAGCCTTACAAAAAAACATGGAAATACCAGCCCATGACAGGACTGAGCCCAACAGCCAACTGGACTCGACCCACTCTGGACGAGGTGCACTGTATTCTTCCTGGGGAAAGAGTCCTGATAGAACTGGAGTTAACTTCTCAGTCAACTCCAATTTGAGGGACTTGACACCCTCACATCAGCTGGAAATTGGAGGAGGCTTCCGAGTAAGTGAGTCCAAGTGCCTGATGCAGGACGACGCCAGAGGCGTGTTTATGGAAACAGCTGTCTTTTGTACTTCTCAAGATGCACTTGTCTCTGGTTTCGGACAGACTGTTAATGACAATTTGATCGACGGGAGTTGCACACCCCAGAATCCACCACAAAAGAAAAAGGTTATGATTTAACAATTTACAGTCTTTTGAATGGGTTTTTCTCTGCGCTCTTAAGGGTTATTGATAGTTACAGCATGTGTTATGTGAGGCATTTGTAACTTGGTGATGTAAGTTAAGGTATTTTTTGTGTACATTTTTAAGCTTTTTGTAAGTAATCTGATGTTCCTAAGGAAGTAAAAATTATAGTGATATGAAACGTCTAATAAGAAATGTAGTATGAGATAAAAGCCTCGAGGTAATTTTTTTCATGAAACAGTAATCTTTAAAAATAAATGCCTCCACCAAAACCATACGTAGATAATACTTGTTCTTATTTCTCTTATTTTACATTGAGCAGGCAGCCTTGGAGAGAAGAAATGCCTCTTCACCATCTCATAATACTTACAGTGTTTAGGCCATGGATGTAAGAGTATTTTGGAAAGTATGATACTGATTCTACCTTAACACACAAGTTCCTAATTTTGAGACAGAATGCCTTATTTTGCAAGAATGGGAGAAACACACTTATTTGTTAAGTAACTGATGTATATATAAGTCAAAGCATTTTAGTGATATGTGCTTTTAATTTTTATAACAGAGTCCAGTTGGCAACTTTGTGGGAAGCAATGTAGTATAGTGGAAAGAGCACGGGCTTTCAAATAAGACCTAGGTTCGAATCCCGGCTCCAACACTCACCAGCTGTGTGACCTGGAGTGAGTGAGTTACTCAATTTCCTCATCTGTAAAATGGGGATGATAATATACCTATTTCTTAGGGTTGTTGTGAGGATTAAATGAGATTGCATATAAATCAGCTAAATACAATGCCTGGCATATATAGTAGGCATTTAATAATTGTTAATTTATGAAAAATTCAATTATTTTTATATAATTTTCCTAATATAAATGCTGCAGTATCCTTTTTTAAAGAATAAATTGATTCTGATACATAAAACAAGAATAAAAGATTTACTTTTTTTTTTTTTTTTCCTTGTTTAAGGTTTCTCTATTAGAATACCGTAAGAGACAACGAGAAGCTAGGAAAAGTGGTTCTAAGACAGAAAACTTTGCTTTGATTAGTGTATCACCTCACACAAGTGGGAACCTGAGCAACAGTGGTGATGCATGTGTCCACGGCAGTGAAAATGGGGAGCAGGTAGAAAACCAGGCTAGCTTGCCTTTACCACCGCCAACTACCACTTACAATGCCTCTTGTGAAGAGGGCAGCAGTAACTGCCCTGCAAAAGAAGCCAACGCCAGTGAGAAGAAAGACCCAGAAGTTCAGTGGTAAGCCCCTTCCAAAATGTGCAATTGTACAAGGAGAAAAGAAGAAAACAGTTAAGAGAGTTATTCTTCCTGTTTGCTGTTTTGGGCGTGTAAGCATAAAACAGACAGTGGTTGTTGCTGGGAAGGTCTAATTTTTTTTTTTTTATCTCAGCCATGAAAATATTTCTTCCTGCAGAAGTTGCCATCCCAGTCAGCATCCTCTACAGTTGTATTTCCCTTACCAGTTACCTGGGATGAAGAAGCATTTTTACTTAAGTGTTTCTTCAATAAGACAGAAGCAGCTTCATTAAGATGGGTCTCAGAAAATAGGAAAAAGACCACATTCACTCTGCTCCTTACCTTCCCACTCAAACTTACAATTTTGACATGGGCATTTTGTTGGGAGTATTTGCTCCCTTTGGTAAAGCGACCCTATAAATGTTAACATAGTATTTCCAACATTTCCACCTTCCTTTTTACCAAGAAATTGCCAAACACAGATGTTAGTCTGATTTCAAGCAAACAGGAATAAAATCTCAGTTTGGAGTGCAGTTAGCAATGAAACAAGCTGCTTTCAAAGCTTTAATACCAAAGTATTGTCCCAGTATAGCACAGTCCTTCCTGTGAAGGCCCTTTCATTCATCATGAGACAGGAAGTATAGTCTGACCAGAGGAATTTTTGATTCTTTTAAAGGACTGCCTCTACTTCAGTGGAGCAAGTAAGAGAAAGGAGTTATCAGAGAGCATTACTGCTCAGTGATCACCGGAGAGATAAAGACAGTGGTGAGTGTCCTTGCTCTTCTCTACCTAGGGGGACTGGCTATCTGTCCCTGTTCCCTGTGAGCACTAATGTTCTTTCTGGGTCTGCTCTGCTTCATCTCTAGGGGGAGAGTCACCATGTGTCTCATGTTCACCGAGTCATGTTCAGTCTTCACCTTCATCTCATTCAAATCACATTCCCCAGGTGCACACTAAGAGCCTAGTCCCTTCCTTGAGTGAACTTATAGCAGGTCAGTAAGTAGATGACCTCTCATGGCTATTATTTTAAAGTACTTCGTGGTCAGAAGAAAGCTGTGTACAACGGGCACTGTGTGTCTGTGTGTGACAGTACTCATCTTATAATTGTACACTGACTATAGGTTTCTTGTGCTTTACAGATCCTGACCCTGAAAATCCAGAACCCACAACTGTGAGTGAATGTCCATCCCCTGACACTTCTCAGAGCCCCTCAAAAACAAGCAAGGTAATAACATTGACTTTCAAGTCTGGCCACTCACAAAAACTGATGGTAACATCTGGTCAGACTGTTTTTCTTGTTACATCAAGTATTAGCTTGTGATTTTTATACACTCCTATTTACTCATTCTTATACTCTGGCTCAACATTGCAGTTTTCCCAGTACCCTTCTGTAGCTGATATTTCCCCCAGAAGTAAACAAGCGTTTACTCCTATTTTCATTGGAAACAATTTTATGACCAGCCTATCGGCACTCCATAAACAAAAGCTCAGGCGACATGTATGAAAAGGAATGCTTTCTGTGAAGAGCCTATGTGTGTCCCACTGTAAGCTAAGGGGATGGGGGGATCTAAGTAGTGCCTGTCAGTATCATGGGTCTCTATACTTGTCGTATTCACACAACTTCCTGCCCTCTTTAAACAACACTAAATATCAGTAAGAGTAAACTTCAAGGTACTGGACATATTTTTAAATTTTATATAAACAAAAAATTTATGTGAGTTTTTTTTTTTCCCCCCCTCATAGCCTGGTTCACCAGGACCGATAAATCCTGCTCAGTTACATGGGAAAATACTCACAAAACCAGATTCCCACTGGGAGACAACAGTCACTGTATCAGAAGCTGAGAACACCATTCACCTGAAGACGGAGCTCCAGCAGAAACCGCTGTCAAGTAACACCCCAGCACTTTCAAAGACCCACCCTCCTCAGGCCCATGTTCGCAATGCAAATGAGCAACTTCCACAAAAGCTGCCTTCTGCACCAACAAGGTTGCACTGTCCTCCATCACCTCACATAGAAAACCCTCCCAAGTCCTCCACGCCTCACACAACTGTGCAGCATGGTTACCTCTCACCAAAGCCTCCTTCACAGCAGTTAGGATCTCCCTTCAGGCCTCACCATTCACAGTCACCTCAAGTTGGAACTCCTCAGCGAGAGACTCAGAGAAGCTTTTATCCAGCAGCACAGAACCTTCAAGCCAGTACTCAGCAGGCAGCTTCTGGAGCATTATTTACACAGACACCCTCAGGACAATCTTCAGCAACATACAGTCAGTTTAACCAACAAAGCCACAACAGCACAGCACCACCCCCTCCACCCCCTCCGCCTCCTTCGTCGTACTATCAAAACCAGCAGCCCTCTGCAAACTTTCAGAATTATACTCAGCTCAAAGGTAGTCTTTCCCAACAAACTGTGTTTACATCTGGACCAACTCAAGCACTTCCTGGCACCACAAGCCAGCAATCAGTTCCAGGACACCATGTTACTCCAGGACATTTTCTGCCATCTCAGAACCCTACCATTCACTTTCCAAATGCTGCTGCTGCTGTGGTCCCTCCCCCGCCTCCACCCCCACCTGTCCCAGGACCACACCTCATGCAGCAGCCAAACTATCATCAGCAGCACTCTGTAGCACATGTAGTTGGGCCAGTTCATGCTGTCACCCCTGGGTCACACATTCATTCTCAATCTACTGGACACCATTTACCACCACCCCCTCCACCTCCTGGGCCGCATCATTCAACATCAGGTCAAGCCTTACACCACCCACCTCATCAAGGACCTCCACTTTTTCCTGCAAGTACTCACCCAGCTGTCCCACCGTATCCCTCACAAGCTACACATCATACCACTTTGGGACCGGGACCCCAACACCAGCCTTCTGGAACAGGGCCACATTGTCCATTACCAGTTGCAGGTCCTCATCATCAGCACCAAGGACCTAACAGTATTCCAACACCTACTGCTTCAGGGTTCTGTCCTCATCCTCATCCTGGCTCTGTGGCCCTGCCACATGGGGTGCAAGGACCTCAGCAGGCATCTCCAGTGCCTGGACAGATTCCAATTCACAGAGCACAGGTGCCACCAACATTTCAAAACAATTACCACGGTTCAGGGTGGCATTAAATTGGACTCTAAACATTTTTTAAAATGTTCTGTAAGATAAACTGTATATTTCATATGTACCTATTAAGGTACTTTTTAAAGCTTGTACATGAAACTTTGTATAAAAACAAAACAAAAAAGAAAAACAAACAAAAAACAAAACAAAAAACAACAAAAAAAAAAACACCAGTGCTCTTTCATTGTAGGTTCCCCATTTTTGCTTTTAAAATCCCTTAAGAAATGTGCTCTTGAGCCATTCATAGGCATCTTTATTTTGTAAGTGAACATTCCAGCTGTTTTTCTGGCCATAGATCCGAAGCTACATGACCTTTAAATTTTATTGTTGCAGTTCAATTCATTTCGTGAATATTTTCTATATTTTATACATATGCATTAAGTAAGGAAAGCACTATGAGGATTTTCTTCCTTTTTTATGGTCAGCAGTTCTGAGAGTGCATCTTAGGTCTGAAAATGCAATACAGGTTTTTATAATTTGGTGTGGACATGGCTCATTTTGTTTTATCAGTTTTTTTGCAAGCAAAATGTAATTTAATGTAAGATAATTTCTAGTGACCCCTGACAGACTGTAAATACTGCATTTCTTTTGCATATATAATTGCTTCCAGCTCTTTTCATTTGGTGTATAGCATTGTATATATGACAAGTCTTTTGCAAAAGTGTGATCTCTGTGAAAGTAGTTCAGTAAGTACAGACCTTTCCTTTTTATTTCAAATATGCTGTCACATTGAAGCACTGGTTGGACATTTTAATTCCTGTTAATAAATCACAATTATGTCAGTTTTACTAAATTGTTCTGTACAACTTCTGAGATTGAGGTCTGCTTAATGATTTTACAAAAGTTAACGATTTTCAAATATAATTTGTAAGGAAAGAACCTTCCATTTTCTTTAGTAACTACTACCTCAATTGCTAGGCAGGCTACCAGCAGTGAGTCTGGGTGGTTCCCACAGTCCTTCCTATCATTTGCCTTTTCTTGATAGGCATGAGTCACAGGTAATTAAATAGCCAAGCCTATGTGACTTATACTTATCGATAACAATCTAACATCATACAGAATTACAAAATTAATCCAGATCATTTATACATTACATACTAAGCAGTTACATACTGCAGTTTACGAGTTTGAAAAGAAGTAATTTACCTAAAACACAGGAAGAATTAATTTGCACACTTTAGAATATCACTGTAATGCCCTACTAATAAAACTGATATGAAAATGTAACATTTAATATCTAGCTGTAGGGCTTTTTTAAGTTGTAGAAAATATATTTCTTTAAACAAAACTTAAGGGGAAAGGCATTCTGAAATATGTCAAATAGAATGAAGAAGGTATCTGAGTATCTTACTACTGAAAGAAATGTGTCAGTTGTGTTTTCTTTTTTTAATTTCCAGCTTTTGCTATATGAAATTTATCAATAGCAGTTACCCTGTTTATCAACATCCATAAGTTTTCTGTATCAGGGAAAAAAGTAAAATTTTTTAAAGTGACTGGATGAGGTCTGGTAGTGACGTAAATATTATCATTTCATTTCCATTTGAAAAGTAGCTGCTGACTGTATGTGAGAATACACCGACTTTAGGATTTAATCCTAATCACCTTCAAGATTTTGAACACCATTAGCCAACTTGGCCATCTTTCTGTCCTTTGCCCTGGCTGGCTGTCCTGGCACTCACTCTGCAGACCAGGCTGGCCTGGAACTCACAGAGATCCACCTTCCTCTGCCTCCAGAACCCTAGGAATGAAGATGTGCACCACCACCACCTAGCTTAATTCTGCCATCTTTGTCAGAGTTCCCCTTAGGATGTTCACTAAAGAAACAGTGGGAAACATGAACAAGTTCACACCATCCCTGCTGACAATTTCAGACACACAAACCAAAGCCAGCTAGTATGGAAATACCAATAATAAATCCACGTACTTTCAAAATAGCCCATTATTTTAAGTAACTCAGAATGAAAGCTCTGAAGAATATTAACTAAATACAATTCTTGATGGACATACTCTGTACCTAACTTTTAATTAATTAAAAGTGGGCGGGGGGGGGGGGGGGGGGGGGCCTAGGGGGGCGGGGGGCTTGGGGCCTATGAGCTCAAGGCCAGCCAGGGTTCAAAGAAAGGAAAAAAGAAAAAAAAGAAAATACTTGAGCGTGTTTTAACAGTGAGAAAGCTCTACTTATTACCTTACCTGTCAATAAGCATTTACTGTTTAGGGAATACGAAAAAGCCAAGTAGCTCTCAACCTTAAAAGGATATTTCACTGGAACTCTAATGCCCACTTCTTCTTTGGAGAGTTCTGCCACTTTCCAGATTACCTACTTCTGAATCTGTTAAAGCCATATATGTTACCTACTACTTGTAATTTTCCATGAAGATTTCACAGGGTCTTTGAACTAAAAAGACTGAGTGGGTTACACTGTTCTGAATAACCAATGGTTCACGTTTAAGCTCGTATTTATTCTTTTCTCTCAAGTTTTTGACACAGGATCTCACTATGTAGCCTTGGCTGGTCTAGAATTTAGATAAACCCAACTCAGAAATCTACCTTGCCTCCCTGGGATTAAAGGCCTGCACCACAACACCCAACCTTTATATTTATTTTTTTAATCAGCGTGCTACCAAGAACCTGATATAACCAAATGGTACCCAATTACAAACATGTGTTCTTTCTAGAACTTGTATGCAAGCTAGTTAGGGTATCAATAGGAGAACCACCTTAAAATTAACATTCTAGCTTTTCTAACATGAGCTAAAACCACATTAGACAAATTTCATTCAAATAGTAAAAATTCTTTTAGACACAGGGAAGAATACATATACACTTTGTGGTTCTTATACAAATGTTTCTATGATGACCAACAACACTGTATAGCCACCATCTGTCATGGGATCTCCATGGAAACCCACAGTCTGATTAGAAAAAACTCAGCATGCATAGTTCATAAATGAGTAGAACCTTCTACCTCACAACCGTGCGTGATATATTAATGCTAACCCCTAAAGGGAGTATGTATCTTGTCCACTCAGAGTGAAAGATAAAGGGTAGGAGGAAAAAAACATTGCATTTATGATGAAACACTGATTTTTTAAAAAAAGGGACCACCCACACTGTAGATAATGAAGCTATCCTAAAGCCTCATTCCTAAAATCCATCCTGCCCTAAAACCACAAGTGATCACCTGGCAATAAGCTTTAATATATGTTCTGTGACTTCATCTGTATCTCCTTTAGCTTTGGTGACACTACTGAGAGCAAATGTATGTTGACTCTGTCACTTCAAATACAGGGCAATGACAAAGGCAATGTCTGGAAAAAAAAACCCCAAAACACTTTAATTTTTAAGACAAGTGCAAGCACCCCAAACAAAGGATTATTGTTACAACACTTGTTAGCTTTTCACAATCTAATTATTGCAAAGGCATATGGATAAATGTTAATGGACAAAGTCAAGAAAAACGAGGCACCTTAATGAATAAAAATGTTTTTAAAAAGGACATTCAATCCACTGACTTCTAAGAGGCTAATATACCTCTCTATGTTATATTCTAAAGTTGTATTGCCTACTAATGGTTTGTATCCTGGATTCTACAATTTATTTTAAGAAAATGCATAAACTAAAACTGTATGCGGCCTGCAAAGGGAAAATTTTCTCATTCATGAAAAAACAACGAAAAGGCAAGTAAACTGCTGTAGCAAGTAAAGCTGCTTATGGAAGGAACATGATCACTGTCACCTGTAAGCTGGGAGGAGTGTTCTGTTCACTGTGCTGCAAACTGTATAAGCCACACCTTGTGTTTTAGACAAACACCATCATGCTTTTCCAAAAATATATTATTTTCATTCCACACACTGAACATATTTCTCTTGTCCAATTTAATCTACATATTTAACTTATAGTGCTGATAGTAGGTTTTGGGCCATCACATTTTAAAGGGGAATGACTTCTTTAAAAGTAATTTTAAAAATATGCAAAATACAAATGGAACTGCTAGATTATAGTGTCAATTTCTGAGTGAGAAGCAAGTTTTCCTTCCTTTAAAGTGGCACCTAGACCAGAACCACTAGGACTGTTAATGGAATGAAAAGTTTGTGTGACTTCTTGAAGCAGTGGAACTCTGCAACATGCAATGTATGCTAAGAAGCACTCAGGAGGGGTAGCTTTGCTGAATGTGAACCCTTGTTCCCTATTTATGTAAATTAACAGTTACATACACTATAATACAGAATGATTTCCCTTTGCCAGAAGAAAATATTGTATATTTCCTCACTCTTTCTTGGTTCCAACTGATAATTTCTTAAGATTGTAAATTATATAATACTCAGCTAAAATATGTCTTCATAAATAGTTACAAAACCTGCCAACACACAAAGGGAAAGTACTTTTCGTTCAAAAAATGACATTTGAATGTCACACAACACAAGAAACAATGCTTAGGGACATGTTATTGTTTCCAGAAGAAAATGGCCAGTAAACTACTTAGCTGAAGACAGAGACTGCCCTTCCCCAGGATCATGGTGCCCAGGAAGCAAAGTGTCAAACAGTACCTCAAAGCAAAACAAAGGTCTGAGGGTAGAGCCAGCTCACTTGTGATCCTGTTAAAGAATGAGAGTCACTGTTTAGGTCCAAATGTACTGGGGAAACATTTGCTAGCTCAGAATGCTATATTTTGTAGAATCTGCTAAGAATTCAACCAAGGATGTCGAAGGCATTCGCCAGCTGAAGCTCGTTTTTCTGGAACCATCTCTAACATCGGGATCAGGAAATCTGTAAACTGTGCAGCGTCTTCTTGGGGCCAGCCATACTTTTCCACAAGTACATCAAAGAGGCTCCAGGGCTTCAGCTTGGTGATGTGCCGAAGTTCTCCTGCAGAGAAAGAAGCATGCAATCACAAAAACTCAGATTTGCACATCCCTGAACTAATTGGTCCAGACAGGCTTTTTTGCAGGCAATCTAACTCTCAAAACCATGGTAACAACGAAGGAAGCTGGCTCTCTTCCCCTAAGCACGTCTCATGAAAGAATTAATGATTCTGTCCAAGCAAGCTAGGTGGGTGTAAGCAGGCTAGATGATACGCATCAGCTGTGAGCTTGAGGGTGCTCAGAAAGAACGCCTGCATTTCCCCCAGCTGGAGCCACTCCCACTTCAGCTTGTGTGCTGGTGCCCTTTGTAAGCTTGCTTAGCAAAACCTGTATGATGCTTATCATTTGAAGGCCTTGTGATACTACATTTTACCATGCAAAGGGGAAGGGGGGAGTGCTCCTAGAACAAGACTAATCTATTTTGTCTGGTGGTACAGATGTCTTTTGAACTAGGTTGTCCAGTATAGCAGCCACTGGGCTAACAGGCACATACATGTACACAGTGTGACTAAAGAACATAGTAAGTCTTAATTTGTCTAAAGTTAAATAAACAGCCACAAGCAGCTAGTGGTGACCCAAAATAAATGGTATTCATCTCTACATATTGTTGTAAAATACATGACTTCAAGGACAATTTCTTATAAAACATGAAGTTAACAATTCTCAAATGTGTCACCCGTAGTATAAAAGTGTCACTACCTCCCAAAGCTCGGAAGTTCTGATACAACAGAAAAATTAACAGTAAGTAGCCTGTGGGCTAGAAAGGCCTTTTTAAAAGGGGGGAAAAAGAAAAGGACAAGTCCAACTGCCAGGTCACTTTCACTATGAACAACTCCCTTTCTGTGAGCTGGAAAACGTTCACCGGCTCTCCACTGTCGTGTATAAAGTGGCCTTCTTGGGCAGCCCTCAGAGTGGGCCCCTGTAAATCTCCTACACATCCAGGAACCATGCCAACTGACTGTGGTGTCTATACCGGGCCTGCAGCAACACTGTGTTAGGTGAGTGGAGCCCAGCCTTTGGGCCCTATCGGCTCGGCCGTGCCTCTCCTCTCTCACATGCTGCATGCACTGCTTCTCAAGCTCCCTAATGTGAGGTCACCTAATACCATTTCTCAGGTTTGTTCACGAACCATGAACAGTCTCACTGCTGCTTCCTAACTGTGCTTTTGCTGCTGTTATGAACCGCAATGTCAGCATCTGACATACAACGTGTCCAGCATGCACCCCACGGCTGAGAACCCACACAGACAACTTAGAAACACCCTGGCCACCCACTTTGAAACCCTGACAAAAAAGATAGCGTTCCTTATAAATGCAAAAAATAAATAAAAAAATTCAAGAATCACAGCTATCACACTCCCCACCCCTCACCCATGGTCCTTTCCTTTTTATACTCTCTTCAGTGGCCATTCTTAGCTCTCTACAGAATTATCACCATGCTGTACGCAGGATTCCAGAAAGAAAATTTGGGATGGTTCCTAGTTAAGGTGAGGTAACAAGCTGCTGACCTTAAGGAACAAAGGTAAGTCCTGCTTCGCTACTGGAGATCAGATCTCTAAATTTACTAAGGAAATGGATCTGTAATTTTACTCGTGGAAAAGGAAGGGCTTCAAATAAAAACAGTTTGTAAAA